CCTCTGAGGCGCTCCTTTCAGGCCGTAGTTCGCATACCACCAACGCGTGAGACGCCGTGGAATGTCCCATTCCCACTGGTGCCGCTGTCAACCCTTGTGTAACGACCCCTTCTGGATAGTCATGTCGGGACTTCACTTGTGCACCACGAACTTTTCGCTTCTGCGACTCCGCTGTGCTACCGTCACGACTGTTGCGCCCTACGTCCTGGCACTGGATACTGATGACAAGCAGAAATAGGCTTTATATGACAGCCTTCAGGAATCATTCAGGCGTGTTGCGAGCGATTGGGATGACAGGGGGGAGGGCGGTGCGATACATACGCGGGCTTAGTCCCTAACTATTGCAGTGCGAGACTGTTACCTCCCATAACCAATAGCTGAATAATTCCGTTGCGCTGAACCGTAGCATCTCTACACATATTTGTGTCCTGTTTCCCAAGAGGCATCTGGTACTCACTTGACGGCCTGATTGCAGGTTAACTATATTTGTCTGAGCAGACTGGGCAAACCCATTAGTCGAGTCCAGTTCGATGCCCGATGCTGGGGCCTGCAACATGATTCGAACCATGTTGTTGTGAGGCCTTGGTTGCCTGTCAGTCTACGCCTTGTCGGAAAGGCATGACTCCCGGAGAAGTACTTTAACTATCTTACAAACCCTACTTCTACCACTGGCTCCTGTGTGCCCGTTTAAAACCACATTGGCCCAAACTAGTCGCTACCGACGTTCTTTAAAATCAGCTTGCTCGAAGTAAGCCAAGCATTCTAGAGTATCAAAAAGTGATAGGTCGAAGCGGACGACGCTAGGAAAGTAGGATATCTGGCGAAACTGCATAACTCACTTACAGTTCAGAGGCCGCTTGCCTTGGTAATCCGGACTTTATGGACTCGCGCCCTATGACCTTGCGCACTGCGGAGCGCAGTTTAAATGGATTTAGGAACCAAACTGTCCGAGGTCCGGAACGCGTTCCAGCCAAAGGTTGTATCGAGATAAACTATGAGGAACTAGATCAGCAGAGGTGACGAACACCCAGAGTAGCTGGTGTTTTAAACTCCAAACCGACCACGTTTGTAAAAAGATTATTTGCCCACATTGACTCGACAGGCTTGGCCGCGGCCGCGGTCCAGTCTGGGTTTCACGAGGCCCAGCGTTACTGAACTGTAGTCCACCATCGGCGGAGAACATCTTTTATACGATAGCAGAACAGGAGAAGAACGGCAAATCAACGCTGTTCGTCAATGATTGTCGATCGATTGCATGGGCTTCTACCTTCAAGTGGCAAACTGCGATGCTGGCGTCGTATCGGTCCTAGAGGAAGGCGATAGCCTACTGGGCGAACTGCCGTGGCATAGTCCACCTTGGCTGCCCTAAAAGTCATGATTTTCAGTCGCTTCTTGTAACGATGTAAAAACAAGTGGGGGTCTTTGCGGCTTTCGGCCGGGATGGGGATTTGTTGACCAGCGCTTCTTGTCCCGCCGAACACTGTCCCTGCTGCCACTGGTCAGTTCTCGTATGTCGGATCGTATTGGAATTTCCTCTAATCAGGCCTTGTGGTGGTGTATCGTCTAAGCTACTTCTATTGACTCGGCCATCCTGTCCCAGAGTAACAACCAATTTCCTCCCGAGGTCGCCTTCGGCGTCTGTCAGGTGTGTTTTCCTCAACCCTGTTCAACGATGCGGCGGGCCGGCTTTGACATGCGCTGATGAGACTCCCCGGTGTTGTAGTGGGTCATGCTTCGTGTATTACGATACTGGACCATGCATATGATGTTGAAGACGTTGGGTTAATTGACTTCTGGTAACTTGGATTAAACTTACTGCCAGCGACAGAGGCAAAGACCGACCAGCTTCACGCGGCGCTTGTTCGGCTAGGTCGAAACCTCTGAAATCGGCTTGAGATCAGTCTGAATACCAAACTGTGTAGGAGAGGATCCCGTCAAAACAATCCTCAAGTACGAGTGTGGGATGCGACGCGTGCGCTCGGGACGCATTCCGCTCATGACATTTTTCAGTCGCTAGTGCTTGCACCCCGTCCTATTTAGTCTGCGATCGTGGCACCGGTCTGACCAGTCGCGTACCTGAAAAAGGTCTCAAGTGATGACATTATTACATGTTGGCGAACATTGCGGCCATCCAGTGGGGCGGCACATCGGTCCGACACGATCCTAGAAATCCAACAGTCCGTCGGGGGTGACGGTGGCGGCGAATGGGGACGTCCAACCTCGAGTTCAGAAGGCATATCAAACTGTCCCTCCATAAAGCCGCCTTTTGGAGAGTCGCCTCACGATTTGACTTTTGGACAACCTGGGGACTGTTCGCTGGAGGCTCCAAACAAACGTGGAGGCCCTGATAATGTTTGTGTAGATTCCTGCATCTTGCCTGTAGAGTTATGTGCGATTGGCAAAGTAAACAGTACTCCTCGTTTCCGTTTTGCTTGTATTCTAGCGTCGCATTGCTGGGGGCGACTTGCCTGGAGTGACTGGACGTGGCAGAGGGGCGTGGCCGCATCGCAAAGCACGCAAGGGGCAGAATGAGGGACTCTGAAAGCTTGTTTGCATTTCGCGACAACCTTTTTCTGTCCATTATTGTGCTGAAGATCACAAACTATCACACATCCGATATGGCTGACAGAACAGTTGTTTGGCGATATTCGAATAGGTTATTCGTCACACGAGTATGCATGAAACCTCATTCTTCTCTTTAATCGAAAGTCCTGTCAGCGCTAAGAGGTGACGGCAACGGACATCAGCTGCTCGAGTTTCTTGGCACTCATCTTCTTCGCTATGGTAGAGTGGACGCACACCTTTATCGCCGATTGCGAGATCGGCGCCCTCAACGAACTCCAAATACAGTGCGTTCCAAAGCTGTTGACGTTTTGTCAGTCATCTTAGGAACTTAGGAAAGGGAGCGCTAGTTTTGGTATAGAGGGACAGTCATTCCTCCTTCTGGATCATCAAAATAAAAGGAAAAAGAACGGTGAAACTTCACAACAAGCATTTTCCCTCAGATCCGCAAAACCGCAGAGCCGAAGGGATTGGTCCGAATATAGTCTATCTGGTTGGCATCTTTCACAGAGGACCTTCCGTCTTAGAGTTATTTTCATGAACTGCGACCACCTCTGCCTGCGTGCTTCAGATCCTCAGTATTGTGTTAAAACTGGTCGGATTTTGGTGCCTCTGTACGGGACGCTTGTCGAATTCATTGACATGATTCGATCACTATCGTCTATCACGGACCACAAGCAGAGGGCGAACACAACTCCTTGGTCTTTTTTTCACAATGAAACTGCCATCCATCGCGGCGCATTAGATTTTGTGGATCTATCTGGCACTCAAGACGATTCGACGCTACCTCCAGGGCATTGCTTTTGGCTGGGCTGCATATCACAGTTCTCAAGGGCTTTTTAACACACCAAGGAGGTACGGAATGAGATGCACCCTTACGCCGTCTGGATCCGCCCGGATTATCATGAGGGGTTGGTTTTGCCGAGGTGATTACTGAGCAGAGCCGAGCCGATTTTCCGAACGCGGCTAACTGACTTGCAAGAACGTTGCGTTGCCGAAGATCGGGAGTGTTTATTGGTTTTGACCATCTGTTGGCGTTGAAGAGCGTTCGCAGGGGTATGCTGCATGTCGTGTATTGACTTTGCCAACAGGAACCAGTTTTAGAGCAACTCATTTGGTTGGAAATGAGAAAGGACCTTCAGATGAGGGAAGAAAATCTGCCTGAGCTGCCAGAGATCCAAAGCGATCCAACTTGCAAAGCCGCCACTGGGTTCATGAAAAACTCGCCATATTTAGTTACGTGCATGTGAGCATTGCCGGCTCTCCGTCGCTGTCCAAAGGATGCTGCCGCTTCTTGACCTGTCGTCGGCAGATATAGGCAATTCTATTACCGGATATTTGGGCCGGAACTGTGCGAAACACGTTCGTCTACTGCTGTTTAGCCATTTTTGTTGCTCCAGGAGGGGTGAAGATTGTCGTCATCTCAGAGATCAAAAAAACTCTTTCTCTCCTGGGGTTCGAAGGATGCTTTTGTGTCCGAAGAGCTGCATGTGGCCTGGCGGCCAACAACACGGTCGAAATATTTCACCAGGAACAACAGACTGCCGTCCTATGCAGCTAAATGCACAAGTGTGGACAGGACACTTTCCATCAGTCTTACTCAGCACGCGATCGCCCGTGAATTTGGACTGCGAGTGCTAGCCTGCAAAACTACTCCCCTGAACCATATTGCGCTTCCCCAGTGAATTGCTATCGCCAACTGGGCGTGTTGTACTTCTCCCTCCGCGACTGTAGCCGTTGGCGTAGTCACTGATCAGAAGACCTAACATTGGTATTTTTCTCTTGGAAAAAGAATGTAATAGGAGCACTGCCCGAACAGAAGAGGAGTATACCAATCCGGAATCTGATACAATCATTCAACTGTCTTCATCTCCGCCAAATTTCAACGCCCTCTTTCATTTCCACATTATCCGGAGTGAACATCCCTCATCTCTAGCCCTTTATTTTCCGTCGAACTACCATTTCACCGGAGAGCTCTGCAGTGGTTCAGTAAATAAAAGTGAAATTCCATTGGTCTTTATCCTTACGAAACTACGTTTTAATGTGCAATTTATGATTTTAACAAGTACATGTAGATTTCGAACGTGTTGTCTTGACTGACCAAAGAACTAAAGTCCTTATCGGTAAAGTTTTCTACCTTACTCAGTAATAAAAAAGTCAGGTTTTTCTTTCATTACGATCGTCTCGTGGGTCCTTAGTTTTATCATCTGTATGTCCTTCCCTTTTATCTGTTGCTTCTTTCCAGGCAATTAGTGTAAAAAACTTTTTTTTCTCCAGACCCTACCTTCGAAATATGAATTGACTCGTGTCACACCCAATTCTTTCCTGATAAGAAAACAACACCCAACAAAATTTTATTCATGACACAGAACATGCATGCTCGATATGAGAATTACAGGAAATTTAGGAATTAGAAAACAGTACAAATGCATAAAAAGAGGACTCATTCACAGAACATACGATCGATAATAGGCATGCACTTGTTTTGTCAAATTGCCTCACCTCTAGTAGGTCTTACTGGAGGCTAGCAAACCCCAATATAGCCACCACAAAGAAACCATTTTCTTTCCTGGTCTTTGACTTGGTAGAGCGTAAAATACATGGACATAACAACAACCTCTCATTCGGAACCGTCACCATAGGTTTCCATAATCGACAGGAATAATCTCTCAGTTACTGTACATGACTTTTGCCTGTTAAGTCTTTCGGTCACATGGTTAAATAACTCATAATTAGGATGGGTCCTCGTTTTTCAAAGTGTGATTTTTGTACTGCTACCTCAAAGTTTTCCGACCCAAACTTGATATGAAGCCACCGAGGCCCCGTCAGTCGATTGCTAGTCGGTCGCTCTAGACGCGTCGATGAATTAAACTGCGTGAACTTCTGCACTGCTCATTATTTCCCTCTAGTGATCAAGAACGAATTGTTCTGACCTTGAATCGAGGGCCTACATATTGCTGGCTTATTGTAAATTACAATGTTTCTTGGCATACATCTGCTCCACCTCAGTATCCAAGGAAATTAAGAAGCTTAGACTCCACAAACTGGCATATGTGCTGGGAAGCTCACGGCGAAGTCTGGGGGACGCACTGACAAACCAGACCCCTCTTGCGGAAGCAGAAAATTGGCGAAATACATGCCGTTGCTGTTAGCTAGTACCTGTACTGTCAGTATGATGAAGCATGCGACAGGTGTATAGCACTGACTACCCGTTGGTCGCCTACGAATATTACGCGGTTATCCCACTGACACTTGTGGACTCGGCCCAAATATTCATGTCGACTTTCAGGTTGAGGCTTTAAAGTTTTAATCACAATGTTTAACCACAATCCAGCGCGTTAATTTTTAGGTAGATCAAAAATCTTAAACTCCAGTGCCGTCAGGGGGTTCATGTCGCTAATGACACACGGGAGTAGGTAGTTTCGAAATCGCAAACCAGGAAGACAAAGTTTGGTGGATAACCTTTCATTGTGCCGGAGCACCGAGGCGGCTGGTATAACAAACGCCAGCTGACCTAATTACCACCTCACAAGTATGTTGTTAACCTACTGTCCGACGCCCGCGCTAAGGCTAAGTTGCACATCAGAGAGGATAGCCTGCACGGTCCTGTGGCTTTTCCAGAGGGCACCGCCGCACAGTCAGGCGTGCAGGCAATCAGGTGAGATTACATGGAAACTTGCGCTTCAGTGTTGATAAACATGCTTCGTAATCGGCGTCTGTGCTTCCAGGCCATGTATTGAGTCTGGCTGCTCAAAGGATATATGCAACCGTTCAGCATTAAAGGCTGACCAGCCCACCAAGCAGCTAGCTCTGGAAGAGGGCGTGGGGTGAGGCCGGTGCTGCATGCGTTTGCTTGCATCCACGTGCATGTATGATTTAGACCCAAATTAAGGCAATACCAATGGTCGGATCTTTACCCTCAGCTACACCATCTGGGAAAAATATGTTTGCTATGCTCGGTTATTCAAAGCCTCCCAAGATTGGCTCTGTACGCCCGGGAGAGCAGTACAGCATTTGACTTCCACGTCAGTCCAGAAACCAACCGATAGCAGCTCTGCACATCTGCGATGAGGTCTTTTAGTTTCATTATCAATTCATAATTGAGGAGACTGGAGTAAAGGGGATCAGGTGGTCACTGTCGGAGAGAGTTAAGCTATTACGGAGGATGGTACGTGGTGTTGAATAGTTTCGTGTGTGGTTTAGGGGTGTCTGGGCTGGTTATGTAAGATGTGGCGATGGGGCTTGCACAGCGGCGATTTACCGCAGATTTTCTAGGAGGCACATATGATCGAGTAGGCCAACGCGACAACTGAACGTCCTAGGGCAGTGTGGACAACTGAGGCGGGTGTATGTTGGGGACCTTGGCACTGGTCCATCGATCTCAGTTCATTGGATTCGCAGGTGACTGGCCAGACCATTGCGTTATGTGAGGGTGCGATTTCGAAGAGGACAAGTTGGGGTTGAGCCCACATTGCTTGTGAAGAGGACGATTGTGGTGGTGGTGGCTGACAGGGCGTCGAGAGTGTTCTTGTCGAGGTATGATGGTCGACAACCCGAAGATTACCAACTCACAGGCCAAGGAAGACAGAGTTATCGCAGAATCTACTGTGACACTAGAGCATGCACTCAGCTCAGTAGGCAATGACAGCAAGTGCTCTCGCAAGCTTTGTAAGCTGTTTCTGTTGTTCACCCGGGCGCGATGTCTGTACTTGTGTCTGAGCTTTATGCGGCTGCGAGCAATCTGTGAAGACGGAAATACTGCTCTGCATCACGGCGTCGGCGGGCCGAAGACTTGTCCGCGCGCGCACGCAGTGCTTGACAGGCGGGCTGGGTTTGCAGAAGGCAGGGGTAAGCGGTCGAACTGACGACCGCGAGAGCGGGCAGCTACATTCTCGCCAGTGGTGGTGGTCGTGATGGTGGTGATGGAGGTGGTGGTGGGGACGTGGCGTTTTCTGAGACGGGGTAGGGGGATCGGCGCACTGACACTACGTTGTGTCTTGGGGTATCCGACGTGGCCGGTCTGTGTGCGGAATGTCCGTTGACAGCGTGGACACGATGGGAGGGGTTGGGTGTTTGAGTTGCTGGTTAGCGGCGTTTAAGACTTGCAAGCCGCTCTCTTTGTCTTAGCAACGGCTATCTAGCTGACTCCGCAGGTGACTGCTTCAGACTTCACAGCGACTCTCCAGGCCTGCAAAACTGGTACGAGGTCCTTCCAGGTGTTCGCGTTTGTTTGGATGTGCCTGAAAATGCCCTCACTGTGTTCTTGTAGCGTGGCTTTTTTCCTCTATGCGACGTTGCCGTAGAATAGCTGCATGAACAGGCGTCTGCCATCCACCTTTACGATGTGGCCGTTCAATCGTAGTTATATTTCTCCCAGCAGAGCATGGACGCTGCGGATTTCGGTTCGTCCTAGGACATCGGTGTCTGGGATCCTGTATTGTCATCTCAACTCCATTATTCTCTGGAGGTAATTGAGGTGGAAGTGGTTGAGTTTCCTTGTTTGGTTTACGCAGATTGTCCTGACCTCCGCCTCACACAGTAACGATGTCAGGACAACGATCCTGCACATCCAGCGGTTTGTGCTGAGGCAGATGCCGCGCCTATTTCTGGGTAAGCCGTGGAAACGACCGGAAGTCTGGCTGGCGCTGGACGTCCAGTTTGCTCTACATCGTTGATCTTGATCATAGTGAATGGTGTATTGCCTAAGAAGGCCAATTTGTGCACCGATGCGAGTCGAGTTCCATTCTCATCGATCCCAGACGTAGTGTACACATCCGCTGGTGCTGATTGATGCATGCCCACCATATTCTCCGCGTAGATGGCCTGAACGAAGTTTGCGCAGCAGGAGGCGAAGAGATCTATGCAGTAAAGAAGATGAAGACACGATCTCTGGGACAGTGGGTTTATTAGTCTGAGCTTTCGGTCTCGTACAGGAGGCCATCGTCAGAGACTGTGAGAAGGCAACATCAAATGAGCGGTTTTTGTATTCACGCCATGAAGGGGGGGGGGGGAGAGATATGAGTGCAGAGGGTGGTATTCGCGATAAGTTGCGCCCCACGCCGTCTCACGGTGGCGTGACTGCGTGCACCCTTGGCTGGAAATTGGGTCTCGCCCCTTGGCCGCGGGAACGGAGCGCGTGATAGCAGGGGGGTATGTCAACGTGCCTGTTGATAGCGTTGGTGTCAGACACCCAGGCCTCTAACAGTTCTCGTCCTGTCTTATTGCTGGCCCGCGCCACTGTCCGCGTGCTCGCAAAGTTGAATTCGTGGCCTTCCTCCAGGGTGTGAGTGGCGACCTGAGACAACGGGTCGCCTCTCCGGACCGCCCGTTTGTGCTCCGTTATTCGTGAGCTAAGTCGTCGTCCGGTTTGTCCAGTGTAGTGGCGAGGGCAGTCCCGACATGGGATCTGATAGACGACGCCCGATTTTTCACCCACGTCTAGGCGATCCTTCACTTGCATGATTTTGCTGCGCATGGTCGCTGTCGGACGGTGAGCGATACCCACGCCGAGCTCTCCAGCGATACGTTCCATCGCTTCGGATACGTTCTTTATATATGGCAGAGGGTGCCAGAGTGTTGGCGGCTCTCCTCCGTTTGTTCGCCGTGGGCGCGTGCGGAGGCAGCGGCTGACGAAGCTGTTCGGGTATCCATTCCTTGCCAGTTGGTCCCGAAGATGCCGAAGTTCTCGTACTCGTCCCTCTGGTTCACTGCAGTGCGTTTTTATCCTCTGGAAGAGTGTCCTAACACAGCTGCGTTTATGCGCCATTGGGTGGTTACTGTGGTAGTTGAGAATCTGAGTCGTGTTAGTCGCCTTTCTGTACACCGTGGTGTTGAGTTCGCCGTTGGGTGTGCGTGTGACGAGAACGTCAAGGAAAGGCAGCTGTTCGGCATGCTCTTCTTCCCTTGTGAACTGAATGTCTGGGAAGATGCCGCTCATTTGATGTTGCCTTCTCACAGTCTCTGACGATGGCCTCCTGTACGAGACCGAAAGCTCAGACTAATAAACCCACTGTCCCAGAGATCGGGTCTTCATCTTCTTTACAACAAGAACCTGGGATTCGCATATTCGCTTCCATCCGTGAAGATCTATGCAGCTTTGCATGACTGCTTCCGTAGCAGTGACGGGCGCGCAGTGGTAATGATGGCTCGCGTTGGCGGGTATTGAGCTTCTGCCCGTCCGTTCTGTATCCCACGACAGTAGGAATACGGAAAGGTGAAACGCACATCTCCCACAGCAGATAAATGTCCTCCAGGTAGTCTACTGACGTATAAGATTTATTCTACGCCTCCAGGAGTACGGAAGGTGATCTCTTAAGTGTGCCTTCCGGGTCTTTTCGACAGGAAATAATAACTAATTTCGATTCTTACAACTTATTCAAGTCGCAAAATCACGAAATCGCTAGCTGAAATTCTGTCCTAATCAACGATGCCTCGGCCGTCTTCACCCGACTTGCCTAGTGACAAGGCCATACGCTGGCGGGGTGGTGATATCCATCATAGAAGAATGCATGCTTCCCTTTTTATTTCGACTGTATTACACTTGCAAGTCGCCATTTTTACAACCTTTTAACTTTTTTGCTTTTACACATGTTACTCGTGGAATCGTTTTCGCGAATACTACGACCTGCCATGGTTTATTCATTTCGAGTTCGATGATAAGCATCAGAACATCTGACTGACCATAAAAAAAACCGGTTCTCTACTTCGTAGAAATTTTTTGAAAATATTTTAATCGCCTAATAATTGGTTGGTACTTGGATTTGTGAAAGGTATGATGCAGAGAATGCTGGGCAGACCAGGCTGTTTGTTACCTGATATTTTACAAAATAAAATTTCGTCGCACAGAGCAATAGAGCTATTGTCAAAGTTTGTGCTTTCCGAGAAACGATGGTTGCCAAGTTGGAACGCGGAGAAGACAGTTAAATGGACAATATTTTACTGAGGTCGAGTGTACATGCAACACCGCAAACAGTTGTAACTGACGTTCTCACCAGTCGAGTGTAAACCGAAGCACATTCACCCGAACCTCGTCCGGTTGAGGTCAATCCGTGAAGAGTGAAATATCGATCGTCGTCACGATTGAATCCCGCGTGTTAGGCGAACCGAAGGCGACATGGTAAGCGGCGGCGCTCACGAATGAGAGCGGGCAGCTCAAAACTCCTAACCGAAATTCTGAACCGCATTTTAGATCATTTAGGCGAGGTTGTAAGTTTCATTAGCGTACAACATAGCCCCAAAGCATTTCTGTCGCGTTGGGTTGCTGGATTTTGAATGAGTTTCTTTTTGGCCACCTCCAAAAACTGCACACGATAAGAAATGGCTACTTACTCAGCATGGATTTTTCCATTGGCTTTTGATGCCCTTATAAATCCAAATATAGTTCAGAGGAAACAGGCATAAGATTATCCTTTCCGTACGTCTTTCTTTGCATCTTTACGCAAAGAAAGGGTATCTCAAGGTTTTAAGAAGCTATTTCAATTCACGACCAGCAGTTGCACTTGCGCTTTGGGCTTTACAACCAAAAGAATCCCTTTATTCATGCCTAAAATTCGAGGAAGACGTAATTTGCTACCAAATGAATATAAGATTGGCTACTGTTGTGCATACTTTCTATAAAATACACCCAAATCTATAAGGGCATGGAAACTGATGGAGAAATTTACGCTACTTAAGTAGCCACTTTCAAAGTATGATTTTTGCTGACTGCCGAAGAGCTAGTTCAAAGGCCGGCGTCCTGACATGTTTTAAATGTACTGGGATTATGATGTACGATAATTAATACTACAACCCTACCCAGGCATCTCCTAATCGAAAACACATTGTAGAATTTCAGTTAGCATTTTTCGAGACGGCACGTCCACTGTACAAGGTGTATGTTTCCTGTGTATGGGGGAGTTGCACACTTCTCTATGCTATTAGGAATATCTCATGCAGGACTCGTAAAATTTTGTAATAAACGTCGTTAATGTTGTACACATCATAAGCAGCATTGGCGAAAGCACAGTTACGATTCCGTATGAATGAGCGTTTAATGGTCTTGAAAAAAGCGTAATTACAGTGCGTGACCTATCTCATGAAATGTTGGCTGAAATTCTGAAATGCGTTTTCGATTAGGAAGGATTACTTGGTCACGGTTGTTATACTGCTTATCTTGTGGCATACTCTTATAACGTTTCGGACTTGGCAGGATGTCGGCTTTTAAATGCACTTCTTTTCAATCTCTTGTAGAAAGCGTGCTCGGTAAAAAATGTTTACTTAAGTAGCATGGATTTTTCCCATTGATTTTCGATGGTCTTGGAAATTCAAATATATTTTATAGAAATCATAAACAAAAATATGCTTTCTTTTAGTCAATCAACAGACAATCACGTCTTCTTTATATTTTATACTTAAGAAAGGAGTATAATTAGGTTTTAAAAAAGTTTTCTAATTGCCGACTAATTTGGAGCCTGATCATTCGTTGCATTAGGGCTTAGTGATTTCACTCTACATGGTGCATGCGTTCCACGTAAAGAAAATCACATATTTTTCTATGTCATTAAAGAGATATCATACAGAGTCCATAAAATTTTGCAATGAATGCGGACCATGTTGTACATTTCATGAGGAGCAGTGGTAAACGGCCAGGTACGATGCTATGTGAATGGACACTTCGAGGTCTTAAAAAGTCTCATAATGAGAAACTTTTTTAAAACCTAATTATACTCCTTCCTTAAGCATAAAAAATAAAGAGGACGTGATTATCTGTTGAGTGACTAAAAGAAAGCATATTTTTGTTTATGGTTTCTATAAAATATATTTGAATTTCCAAGATCATCGAAAATCAATGGGAAAAATGCATGCTACTTAAGTAGTCATTTTTTACCGAGCACGCTTTCTACAGGAGATTGAAAAGAAGTGCATTTAAAAGCCGACATCCTAAAAAGTCTGAAAAGTTATAAGAGTATGCCACAAGACAAGCAGTATTACAACCGCGACCAAGTAATTCTTTCTAATCGAAAACACATTTCAGAATTTCAGCCAACATTTCATGAGATGGGTCACTCACTGTAGAAACATTTTAAAACCTTAGGATGCCCTTTCTTTAAGTATATACTTTCAAGACACAATGCTTGGTCATATGCGTACAGAGAAGAATATGTTTGCACATTCTCTACTTAAAATATATCGGAATTTATTTTGACATTGAAATCAACGGGAAAGACTCATACTACTTAAAAAGCTACTTCTGACCGAGTGTAGTTCTTGGGGAAGCTGAAACGAGGTTCATTCAAAAGCCAGACTCCTGGCATGACTGAAATATCTTGACATTATGTTGAACGATAGCCAACTTTACAACCCCACCTAAGTATTTCCTTCCAATCGTAAGTGCATTTCAGAATTCCAGTTGCCATTTCTTGAAATAGGTCAGGTACTGTAGTGGCCTTTTAAATTTTTGGTTTTTAGCCAAACAGTTTATTTCTCAGCCAATGAAAATTTATAGGCCAACCTATGCCAGTAGGACACGGAAATGGGTCCGCCTGCTCTAAAGGTGCCCTATGCTAAATTTCAGGGGAGGGGTGGTGGGTTCGGGTTAGAAAATGAAACAGGAGATCTGACGGTAGCATCCCAAGGGGCGCCTATCGGAAGAAAACCTGGTCTGGAAAATACAGGAACTTCGCTAGTTTCGTACCTCTCCAACAAAAACGGAATCCAGTCAGGTGTTTGGCCCAAAGGGCTAGAAAAATTTGTTCAACAGATAGTATCGAGGAGGAACTTAGGAAAATCCAGGACTTGCTTCGCGAAAACGGATATCCTGAGAGGTCCATTGCAAAGAACCTTGCCGAACGATCCACAAAACCCACCACACTGACCGCCGAAAAGAAAACGTTGTTCCTCAAAGTCCCTTTCCAAGGAGCCGCTGCAAGTGAACTCCTAGGAACACGCCTTGACGAAGCTGTCTCGGGAACCCTCCCAACAGCAAGGGTTCGCATATAAGTCTCTACTAACCCTATATTACGCGGAGAAGGTAAGGATAGGCTGCTACCTCAGACCGCCTCAATGTGCATCTACTCATTCACTTGCTCCTGTGGATCAGGTTATATTGGTCGTACGAGTCGGCGTCTTTCCAAAAGAATACAAGAGCACCTTCCCGCACAGCTGGCAAAGAGTGAAACTAGGAGAATAGACAGCGCCATCCTTGCGCATGCAGTGGACTCAGGGCATCGTGTGGACCCCGCTGAAGCATTTCGTGTGATTTATAAGGCCCCCTCGAGCTACCCTAAGCTACTGGGCCAGCACCTGTTAGCAACAACAGAAGAGACCGTCATCAGGTCACGAAAACCGACCCTATGCTCCCAGAAGAACATCGTTCAGGCTCCGCGCATACCGTGGTCAAAGGTTGACTAACCACATCCAACTTTCTGCGACCTTCCGCTCTTGCCTAGCCTGTTTTTTAAAAACAAATTTTTATCGATTTTTTTCACTCACTGTACCGCGTCCCATATAACTGTACTGGCCTGACGAAAAGTCATCGAAAGCAACGTTCGCTCGCCACCTTTTCTTCTGGAATAGAAAATAGGTAAAAATCTAGAATTTAGAGCAAAACCAGCTGTCATACAGGAGGGGGGGGGGGAAGGTACCCATTCGCCTGTCTTACCTCTACGCCTTCTGTTATGTATGCAAAACAGAAGGCTAATTGGAAATAGGACGTGTACTGAGTACGATAGACAGCACAAGTGAGGAGGCTTGTGGAAACGGCCGGGTATATGGCAAGGGGGACTGTCATAGGCTGATGGGTGGCCAATCAGCACAAAGACGGTGTGAACAGGGGGCCATGACCTTGATCGTTCGTTTGTCACGCGTTTGTGGCATGATGTCCTGACGGCCCGGGCAGGATACGCTGCATCCCTCCACCCTAAAGTGGAGAGCATGAGGGGGAGGGGAGGGGAACAGTATAGGTAATAGTGGATTGTCAGACAATGTTCTAATAAGATTCGTCCTGAAAGCGTTGGACGGGTTTGCGGTTTCGGGTCGATCTTCTCAGGGCGGTATTTTCTACCTCTGCACCGCTTTGTGCAGTCACTGGCTCCTCTGCCCCTAAGTTAGTGCTGGCCGGGGTAGGAGGAGGTGGAACATAAGCCTCGGTGGATGGCGTAGTGCCCTGTGCAGGAAGTAGGGGCTCAGTCCTCGGGATGTCAGGATCCCTATCAAGGGTTGCTGGCAGTTCTAACTCTCCGAATTCTCCACTTACTGTGTCCGTTCGGCTGCGAACTTGATCCAGATGTCGACGCACAATTCTCCCACCGTCTAACTCTAACTCCACTATTTGACCCTCGCTTTTTCGAACTACCGCTGGACACCAGTTGGTTTCGTGTTCCAGTCGCGTGTAGACACTTTCGTTGGGCGCGACGACTCGTGGTCGGGTGCTCACATCATATCGTTCTTTCATCTTCGTCTGTTTTGCAATGACCCTATCCTGCGTTGATGGATTAAGCAGGTCGAGTCGTGTGCGCAACTGCCGCTTGAACATCAATTCTGCAGGCGAAGCACCCGTTGAGTCGTTTGGTGTTATGCGATAGCTGAACAGAAAGCGTGACAACTTGGTGGCCAAGTCCGCTTCTGTCTGTCTGGCTAGTCCGTGCTTTATTGTCTGGACTGCACGCTCTGCGAGGCCATTTGAAGCACCGTGGTACGGGGCAGTAGTTAAATGTCTAATTCCATTTTTCTCCATGAAATCTTTAAATTCTGCACAAGTAAAGGCCGGGCCATTGTCTGAAACGACCATTTCAGGTATCCCAAAAGTAGAAAAGACGGTTCGCAACTTGTTGATTGTAGTCAGTGAGGAACAAGAATTTCCTGTCGGAATCGCATCAATCCATTTAGTGTGGGCGTCAACTACCACCAAAACCATATGGCCTTGGAATGGCCCAAAATAATCGACGTGTACCCTCTTCCACGGCGAGTCGGGCCAGGCCCATGGCTTCAGAGGAACCTTCGGTAAGGTCTTCTGTGTTATTTGGCACACGTGACATGCTTTCACCACGTTTTCTATATCTGCGTCAATTTTGGGCCACCAAACATAGCTGCGGGCGAGAGCTTTCATTCTAACTGTACCAGGATGAGCATTATGCAGGTCTCTGAGGATGGCCCGTCGGCCTTGCGGTGGCACAACTACACGATTGCCCCATAGTATGCATCCGTCTTGTAGACTTAACTCGTTCTGACGGCTGAAGAATGGTTGAAAATCAGAGGAGGTAGAGGACGGTCAGCCAGATTGTAAGGCTCTTTTTACCCGACTAAGGAGAGGGTCTCTCGATGTCCACTGTCGAATTTGTTGACAGGTTACAGGCGCGTTGACTAGATTCTGCAAAAGATACACGGTCTCAAAAACAGGTGCCCCGTTAATGCCATCGTCCACGATAGGAAGCCTACTCAAGGCGTCAGCCACTACGTTTGCACTACCTGTAACGTATTTCATTGCATACGTGTAAAGCAGATAAAGTGAGTGCCCATCGTTGCATTCTTGGCGAGGACATCTGTTGTATCCCTCGTTTTTCTCCCAGCAAACCTAAGAGGGGTTTGTGATCAGTGTGAATTTCAAAGTGTCGGCCAAAAAGATACAGGTGGAACCGATGTAGGCCAAACATTATTGCTAAGGCCTCTTTGTCTAGTTGCGAATAGTTGGTTTCCGCCTGTGACATGGTTCTTGATGCAAAAGCAATCGGCATCTCCGAACCCGATGGCATTCGATGCATGAGAACCGCACCTACGCCGTACGGAGACGCATCATATTTCAGTATGATAGGCTTTTCGGGGTCATAGTGAACTAGGACAGATGAGGAGGTAAGAGCCGCCTTTGCCTGTTCGAAAGCACTTTGTTCGACCTCCGACCAGTGCCAGCCACAATTCTTTTCAAGTAGTCGATAAAGAGGCTTGAGAATTGTAGCCGATTGATTCATAAAGCGACTAAAGTGGGTGACCAACCCCAGGAATGAACGCAATTGACTAGTATTGTTGGGGCGCGGCGCCGTCTTTAAGGCTTTGAGCTTATGTTCGAGTGGATGGAGGCCAGTTTTATCCACCCTGAAGCCCAGGTATTCTACCGAGTCGGCAAGGAAAGTGCACTTATCTTTCCTGAGTTTAAAACCGGCGTCCTTTAAACGTCCTAACACGATGTTTAGAGTCTCTAGATGACTATGTTCAGATGGGCCGGTAACTAATATATCGTCAAGATATGCGCAAACGTGAGGTATATCCTTCACGAGATTATCAATCAAGCATTGAAATAAACCGGGAGCCGAACTTACTCCAAATGGTAGTCTTTTATATCGAAATAAACCCCGATGCGTATTGATGGTGGTGGCGTCTCGGGATTCAGTATTTAGGACGACTTGGTGGTAGGCATGCTTTAGGTCCAAAGTTGTAAATTGATGACCACCCGAGAGAGATGCGTACAGATCCTCGATGCGCGGGAGAGGATAAGGGTTCAGTTTAGTTGCTGAGTTGATTGTCAGCTTGTAGTCGCCACAAATACGCACAGAACCATCGGTTTTAAGAACAGGAACTATTGGGGCTGCCCATTCCGAATATTGCACGGGCTCAATAATATCCGCTTTCTGTAGGCGATCCAGCTCTTCTTCGACCTTCGGTGCGAGTGCATAGGGGACTGTACGAGCTTTGAAGAACCGGGGCCGGAAATCTGACTGAAACTGAAACTTAACAGGTGGACCGCGGTAGTGGGTAGCTGAATCGTCACGAAATAGATCCTTATGATTTACCAAAATTGAATCTAAAGCCGGATTTACACCAATCCGATGTACATAGGATAGCACAGAAGGCACACATTTAATCCAATTTCGTCCAAGGAGATTCGGTTGCTGGCTTCCTCTCACCACATGAACCGGCAAGTAATGAAGTTCTCCATCATGTTCGACTTCGGCTGTAAAGACCCCTCGAACGTCTACGTTCTGTCCAGTGTAACTACGGAGTGTTGAGCTAACCGGTAGGAGGGAGGGTACTTTCTGAAGAGAGGCCTCATTGATGAGAGTAACAGCTGAGCCAGTGTCGATTTCAAACTTCACGGGATGGTGATCAACCGGAAGCGTGATGGTGTAGGGGGATTGGAGAGTAGCGTTGGCCGGAAACATTCGGAGTATCGCCTCACCATCCCCAGCTGGACTAGGGTAGGTCGCATGCGTGTTACTATTCGCTCGTCTTTTGGAGAAACACACTCGTTCGATGTGGCCGACTTTTATGCAAAACTGGCATACCGTCTTCTGGTGTCTACAGTCTGACCACCGGATATGATGCTGGCCACAACGGTAGCATGATGGTAGTTGTTTTGAGGGAGCTGAGGGTCGCTGTCTAGGTGAAGACACAGCAGTGTTGACCAGGGATACAGCCATTTCCGATTCCAAGGCTGCTATCACTCCATCGTTTGACTGATTCAGCTGTTGAAGGTTTTGCCGCACGCGCTCCTGGTGACTGGCAATATCACAGGCTTTCTCCCATGACAAATCCTTCTTCTCTGATAAGAGATTTTCCCGAGCTTTTTCATCGCGTAGACCGACGATCAACTGCTGAACGAGCATTGCGTGCTCGAAGTTGTCTGCCTTGATCTCTTTATACCCACAGTCCTGAATGGCCAGAGTCAGATTAGTAATAAAATCACTGACACATTGATTGGATTCTTGACGCATTTGACAAAACCGATAGCGACTGAGAAAGACGTTGTCCTTTCCTCCCCACGCTGACTCGAGTTTTGAGAAGGCTGTTTGGAGATCTATAGCCTTTTGTAGATTGAGGGCATCGAAATATCGTTGTCCCAACTCTCCGAGATTCGTCCGGAGGAGTTTGAACTTAGATGGGACGTCTAGTACAATCGTGGGTGACAAAATCGGGAGTAGTTCAATATAATCCTCAAATGTCTTCCACCATTGCAACCACGAGTCATTTGAGGGCTTCGGGGTGTTCTTTGGCCAAAAAGGTAGCGGTGTAGGCAGCAATGAAGACATGTTCGTTAGGCTGCGTCGCCAATGTTATGTATGCAAAACAGAAGGCTAATTGGAAATAGGACGTGTACTGAGTACGATAGACAGCACAAGTGAGGAGGCTTGTGGAAACGGCCGGATATATGGCAAGGGGGACTGTCATAGGCTGATGGGTGGCCAATCAGCACAAAGACGGTGTGAACAGGGGGCCATGACCTTGATCGTTCGTTTGTCACGCGTTTGTGGCATGATGTCCTGACGGCCCGGGCAGGATACGCTGCACCTTCTTTTGAAGAACGGTCTTTTCCTTAACACAATAAATCTTTTGAAATGCAGGATTGGTGGCCACTTAACTACGAAGATTTCTTTATGCGAATTTCATGGCATTTTCCAAGCCACGTCACGTGCCTACATAGGTTTGATCTCAACTTTCACATGGCTTGGTTTGGCTGGGCCGTAAACCTTGCTGACAAAGAAGCATGCGATTCAGCCGTGTACCAGGGAAGGGAGCAAAAGACTCACAGTTCTCTGTAAAATCGCATCTGCAAGTTTGAGCTTTCCGCGACTAGTCTAAAGAAGCTGGTACATGCGGCCTTCATTGAATCTCAGAAGCTTTGATACAAACGAAAATGGCTGCGTTCCAGGAAACTTATTCGGTCTCAGAAAGATATTTGGACCGAGAATCGATCCAGATTCTGCTGCCAGTTCCGCAAACCGGCGTATTTATCTGTCCACCGACTATCACGTGTTATGGTCTCGGTGGCAAATGACGTGACCCTGTTTTGAGTCAAGAGCACACCCACTGGGATACCACAAAATCCGCTTGTTTGATAGAATTTTGAGGCTACCTGATGGCGAATGACTGTAAAAGACGCAAAGTTTCGCCAGATGTATGCACGATTTCAGTGTTGGGCACCTCCATTCAACAAAAACCTAAGCTTTAGTGTTTCATATTCCGTGAAGCAGATAAACGATAGGAATCACACATTGCAGGGAGGCGTAGGTTGTGACTTGTGAAAAATGATAACTTCGAGAGCGTTTTCAAGAAGTACTTAAGCGGACTTGCAGCGGTGGAATGTCATGCGACAATGCAATGCGACAAGGTGCACACAAGTGTAGTTCTAATGCTCGTTTGAAAGGCGATTAGAGCCCTTCGGATTTGCAACTTAAATGAAGCGGAAATCAAGGTGTATTTTAAGGCACAGTTGCTCTGTTCTCTTTTTTTTCAGACACAAAATTTGAAGATGTAATTCGGTACCAACTTGCGCATGTTTTCTGTAAAATATATTTGAATATATAAGGGCACCGAAAATCAGCAGTAAATGTTCACACAACGCAAGTAGTCAGTACTTGCAGAGCACAGGTTTTGCAGGCGGCCGAAAAGGAAGTCGTTCAAAAGTCGGTATCCCGAAGTGATTGAAATATCTTGTGATTAGGCTGTGCGATAGTTAGTCTTACGACCCTGCGTAAGTAATCTTTTCTAGTCGAAGACACATTTCAGAACTTCGGTTAACATTTTGCGAGATAACACATATACTGTAATCTGCGCTTTCACCCGTCATCAAGCCCTCCATTTTCCATACTGAACATTTTCCCTGAAGTTATTTCACATAATTCTACAGGTCTCTACAAAGAGATCTTCTTGCGTACATAGAGGTTCATTAAAGATGGATTTGTGAGGAACGCAAATAAGGTTTAAAGCAGTAGGCCAAACAAACAATCCTTTGATTTTCACAGATTCATGTAATCACGAAATTTTTTGAAAGAAATTTTCACTTTCTTCCGATGCGAAATTAGAATAAGAAGTAATTTCCCAGAGAACGTATCTAGGGAATAAACCTCTCCATTTTATAAAGCACAGTGGAACAGAATGTAAGCCAAAAACCTTCGCAACCAGTGAGTAGTTTTTTTTCTGAATGCCATTTACACAGGAGTCCTGAACGATGTTCACTTCAGTGAGCTGACATTCCACCGTCTAGAAATTGCTGTGTGAGGATATAGCTTATCGGTGTTTTTTCATCCTCACTTAAACAACCATTTCCGGTGGAATGTAAACCGAAAACTATTGATCAATGCTTAATGCGTTTCAGGGAGAAGTATTCATGATTATCATCTGTTTTTCGATGTTTTCATACGGTTAATCCTCGTCGATGCTTCGTGAGAAAGTACACTTTTCTGAGAGTCCGTGGCGTCGAACGCGGAATACCGTATCTTCAGATTTGTTAAAGAAAAACAGTCCGAAAATAACACTTGTATATACACGAAGTAAACGTTCTTGATGCTGTTGACAAGGCGTGCAGGTGATTCCTACATAAGTATGACATTTCATCAGCTCGAAGGCGTCCCTCCACAGAGACCTAGAGAAGTTTCTGAAGCTGACCTATGGGGAACAGGAATGTTTACTCAATTGGCACAAGGTTAATGTGGAGACTTGTCAAAAGTAGGTCTTTGTGAAGGCCTGCGAAATGAAAGGCAGTTATTTATGCCCAAAGTACTGGGATTCTCCAGAAATACTTGAAAATCAGCGTGCGCTTCAAAAAAATGAATGATGTTTATTAAAAAGTCTAAGGTCAATAACCATTTTTATAAACCTAACCGGAATCAAAGCGGATAGTGCGGCTCCCAGAATTCATGTCTTAACGGTAGAGGGCTTGGGGGTTTTTTAATTTACCGACGCACCTCTAGCGTCAGCGCCACCCGATGGCTTGGAGTATTGACAGGTCGACGACGCACACCCCCATCGATCGATAGGAGGCATTGCGGTGTATAATGCTCGTACTGTCTAGAAGTCACGTTACGTGCTGGTGACAAGAGAACGGTCAAGGTCATAGACGGTGTTCCAACCTCGTATGCCCTGATTGGCCATTTCTTAGTCCATGACATTTCCGCCGGGCCGACTAGCCCGCCGTATCACCTTGGTCTCTCCGCTTGAGCAGGTGGACGGTGCAACTGAGCCAACCCAATGATGGCACAAACATTGGTGGTTCAAATCCGTCTTGCAACGATGGTAGTGCGATTTTCGGTTCCCTTAAAAGTTTTCTACCTATGAGCGGTGAGAGCGCCTGAGTGACTGTGATATTTAAGGGAAAGCAAACCCGTGACAGGAGACCATATGACTGCTTTTTAGGACGTGACGTTATGTTCTAGATGCTCCTTTACTCTTTCACTGCTCTGAATTTCGAGTAGCACAAACAGGACGCCTTACCATCACAGGGCCAGATTAACCAGTAGCCGGGAGCAGAAGACCTAACGCCGGGCTAAAAATAATGTTGCCAGCTCTGACCATATCCACGTGCATTTACTCCGTGTGGAGCAGGTTATAGTAGTTGCACAAGTCGGCGTCCATCCAAAAGAATACGACAAAACCTCCCTTCATGATTGAGAAAAGGCGAAATTAGGAGTATAGGCAGCGTCATTCTCGCGCACGCTGTTGATTGCGGACAACATATGGAGCCAACAAAGCCTTCCGTATGATCTATAAGGTCTCACCAGATTACCCTAAGCTACTGCGCTAGCGTCTTCTAGCAACAACAGGAACGACTGTCAGCAGGTTGCGTAAGCCGGTTCTGTGCACACAGAAGAACCTCGTGCAAGGCGGATTCTCAGTCAAATTAAATCAGACAAGTCTCCTGAACCGGATGCGATTCTCGGACTAATATCTAAGGAACTATTGACGGAGCTGGAAATGCCACTTTCATCCCACTTCGAGATGTAACTGAGAACAGGGAGCATGCCTTCGCAGGTAGACGGCCAATATACGGTGAGTAATCGATCTCATGGAGCGTTGGCCGAAATTCTGGAATGCATTTTCGATTAGGAAAAATTACTTATGTGGAGTTGTAATTTTGATTAACTCGCGGCATAATCCTATGATATTTCGGACTTCCCAGGGGTTAGCTTTGGAATGTGCTTCTTTTCGACCTTCTGTAAAAACAACAGTCGGAAATAAGACGGCCACTTAAGAAGTTTGTTTTTTCACATTGAAGACGACGACGTGATTTGCTACCGACTGATTATGAAAATACTATTTTCATGGAAGCTTTCTATAAAATATATTTGAGCTCACAAGGCCATCGAAAATCAGTGGAAAAATTCATACTACATAAGTGGTCATTTTTCACCGAGTACGGTTTTTAGACGCCGCAAAGAAGTGCTTTAGTAAGCCAACGTTCTTGCGAGTCCGAAATACTATGGGATTGTGCTGGGTAATGATAATTCGACCATCGTTTTCGATGATGTCCACCGTGTGCCCCACAGTTGCAGCAGCAATGGGAGCAGGGACGGTGACTTACGCAGGGGTTTATAGTGCCGGTAGAATTGCGTAGCATTTACCTACACTCTCTTCTCCTCCCTCGCCCAAGCCCGGTGTCAAGACAGAGTCAAGAAGACCGGAGACGAGAGAGGCCGCAGGTGGATGGCTCGGACGGATCCTCACCTTGGCGTTCCACCACACCCCCTGGTCCACACAACAAATAACCAGGATTTCAACCAACACAAGAGAGATTTGGAGGCTGGCACGGCCGAAGCCGCACCTGGGCGTGCCGCCAACGCCTGGCTCGGATCCCACACTGTGATGGGAGTGCCATAAAGGCCACATTAATGCTGGGTAATAATCAATATTACAACCCCACCTTAGCAATCCGTCCTAATCGAAAGCGCATTTCAGAATTCCGACCAACATTTCCCGAGATCGCTCAATGACTGTAGTTCCCCTACATAATGGATGTAGTAAGACGACAGCAAGCAGCTTTAAGTCTATGAGCTCGACTTGCATTTCTTGCTGGGCAATGGAAGTCCTTGTTAAGCGTAGTACACTACAATTTTATGACTAAAATGGCGTTTCACAGAATTGCCAATAGAAGCGAAGAGACGAGTCCCAGGAAGCAGTCTTGAAAAAGGAGCCACGATCGTCGGGACAAGGGCTTTATTAGCCTGACTTTTTGAATTTCTACTCGAACCCATCATCAGAGGCAAAAGTAGATACGGGTGGTTCATGCACAAGGGGCTGCAGTATTCATAGGATGCAGTCGCCATGCTACCGCATACCTATGAACATTCACGGCTCCCCCCTTCATCAGGGATCGTTGTACTTGGCGTGCTGACTGTTTGATGGCCGACATTCGCGCCGTTAATTGCTGCAATGTCATCAGAGAATTCTCAGCATGGTTTACGAAGAGGGCATTCCTGTCTCACATATCTGTGGACTTTTCTTGAGGTCCGGAACAGTGCTTCAGGAGAAGACGTCGAAGGAGATGCAGTGTCTCCCATCAACGCCATTTACATAAACCGAACGCCCTTGACACTAAACGAAAGCTTCTGAAATGGATATAGGCTTTTATGGTAGGTCACTGACAACGCGTCAGCATCGGAGAGGATAAATCGGACTGGGTGACCGTGACTAGCGGTGCTCCTCAGAACTCCATTCTCGGGCCCTCATCCTTCAGGAACTGAACTGCGGTAAAATCATGTTTGCTGATGACATGAAGCTCTGGCAAGCCACTAATGATCCAAACGACCAGAAAGCCATTCAAAATAGTCTACATGGACTACAAATTTGCCCCGAGAGATGGCTCCTGGACCTCAATATGCAAAGGTGTGCCGTCCACCATCTGCGTCCAACTAACTATCATCCAATCGACAGCATGAGAGCATGTTACCTGAAAGACATTCAAATTCCCACAGAACCTTCTCAGAAGGAATTCGGTGTTCGGATACAGGTCAATCTGAAGCCATCATAGCAATGCGTCAGGGCTGCAAACAACGCCACTGGAGCACTGCCCACCATCAGAAGGGTGTCTGTAGCTCTCGACAAAGACCTCTTTGGTAAAGTCCAGAGCACCTTTGTTCGACCTCACCTGGAATATGGCATACCGACGTGGCGGTCATGGCTCGCAAAAGACAAAATACGTCTCAAGGAGGTGCAACGTCGTGCAACAAAGTTAGTAAGAGGCCTACAATACAACTCTTATACAGAAAGAGAGGAATGCTTCAATCTACTTCCTTTGTATTACAGACAACAAGGTGGTGTTTTCTTAGTTTACAAGATAATACATGGTCTTGAGCAAGGGCTGCGCTTTGAGGACATGTTCCACTGACACCTCTGACCTCATTTCCATGGACACTCAATGAAGCTGCGAACGAAGATGTCCAGGCTGAATTCCTCACGCAAAGGGTAGCAGAGAAATCAGCCATGCAGGCAACGTACCTTCCCCCTCCCAGCCCAGCCCCCCCCCCTCCCCATCAACACGCAGGCTCCGTCATGTAGGCGGTGCGGGAACAAGGTGGCAATATTTTAAGTACTATGAAACGACGGCCGCGTTGCACCATTGAGAGGACATACAACTAAGCCGAGCACAGATTATGCAGTCCTGATAAGCCTCTTCCAATTCCACGGGTGAATGATGCCTTGCCAATGAACGCTACTTCAAATTGCTTTTATGAATTCACATACACTTTTGGATGAAAGTACATTGGGCGAACGCAAAGGCCAGGTCTATGGAGCACCTGCCCAGATGGTTTTTAAAGCAATAAAACAAAATCCCGCGTTCCTCCATTACAAGACGCCTGCTTGATAGCGGCCACTCCGTCGACCCTGGAACATCCTTCCGAGTACTTGTTCGGGCACGAACAACTGGGAAATTGCGTTATCTGTAGGCGGCCTATATACGAAGGGTGAAAGCGGATCTTTGTAAACAGCTAGAACATATGGCTAACCCAACTTTGCCATGGTAACATCTAGCTCCGTGATTTCACACTCCCCCTTCTTTTTGCTCGTGAAAGTTTTTTTGTCACCATTCTTCCCATATTGTGTTTGGGTTAGTAATCTTATTGATTAGCTGGCACTACCCAAACTCATGACCTTGCTGTTTCTGCATTGATTTTATGCACGAATTCAAATCAGTTGTATTCTTCTCACTCGCTATCTGTATCATGAAGCGACAGGATGCAGCTGACGAGCCGTCGTGCAATTTTTTTGACACCAGTAGATCCTGCCTTGCACGCTTGCTTCAGCAAGGGGTTTGACTAACCCTATCCCTTGAGACAGATTTAGATCCTGTCAATAACTCACAAGTTATGGACCATCTGGGAGGTTTGTTTCCAGTCGCAGATCTTCGTCGAAGGGAATGGTTGGGCGAATAGGTTAAGGATAAGACCGAGACAGCTCCCGTCAAAGTTCCGATGCTTTCAACGGCGAAAAGTTGCAAAAGCCTTCGACAAAGTCCTCCATGTCTAATGAAGGCAAGTCATTTAGGATTCAAGTCTCCTCGAAAAGTAAACTTTTAAGGAAGATAAAACGATGCCCTCGTTTAAGACCCTACGGGGATCAGTCGCGGCGGTTGAAATTATAAAAAAGTGGACGGAACACTAACCATAAAGAGAAGCTCGATGTTATTTATCAATTCATTGCGCAGACGCCTACGACAAGGCAAGCATAAGTACCAGTAGCCATTCAAAGGAGAAACTACTAGGAAGATTGGCTACATTGCCTTATACGATATTCACAAAGTAAGAGTTACATATCGGAGATGGATAGAGGAAAGGGGATAAGATAGCAGAGGTTAGAAGATACACACAAGAAAGTCGAAACATGACAGAAGACAAGAAAAAACAGTCGTTAGAGATAAATAAACAGTAAGTAGAAGACTTGAAGGGAACGTAAATTACACAAATACACGGGTTAGTTTGAAAGCCCAGAAGTAAACGAACAGGAGGTCATTCTGAAAACAGTTCAGCAAAATAGACTTTTCGTCCCTTGCTTATAGTGCTACGTAGAGTAGGACGTTTGCTGCTGTTTGCACAGACGGCGACTTTCGGGAGGGTAGATGACAGACGGAGGAAACTAAGAGACCGAGGTGCCGTTTGCCGGAGAGAACAACTTTCCAGCTAAACGGCGTCTTTCCTCTTCCTTGCATGCTTTCCTTTTAGCGGCTAGATTGGCCAACTCCCGGTCAACAGTACTCTTCATCTCTGGAGCCAAGGTGCCCAATTTGCGAAAATCGCTTTCTGAGAGGTCTAAGTCACCAACTGCCGAATAGGACATTGCACGGCGAAAGAGAGCCTTTGTATTAGAGGGCTCACCAGCAAGAGCCTCGGTCGTGCTTCTAATGGCACCGTAGTAATCCTGAAAGGAAGAATTTCAAAATAACATCTACTCATAAAAGCGTAAGTACATATTTAGTCGACAGTTAAAGCAAGTCCAGGTTAGCATAGACCTTGAGAGCTCTGGCGTGTCTGATGTGGGACGACTTATTTGATTCCAACGGGGACGTTCAGTTCTCACCTTTGGCTCTAAACACTTTTTGAATCCACATAAAGTCCACTCCAGCAGACTGTTTCAACAGACGGACGAAATCAGGTAACAGAAACCGACAGGACGCAAACTTGACGCCTCCGGAACTTTGAGTGGGACACCTGCAGGTCGTAGTTCTAGTTCAGGTTTCTGCCTGTAGTTGGCATTCACGCAATGTTAGGATACCAGTCATGCAATTAGCGCTGCGGACAAACGACGTATTAGCAAAACCAGCCAAGCACAAGTGTCAGCCAATCAATCCACCGACTTTTTTCGCTAAAACGCGGCAAATACTCTAACGAGTCCATAACTAATGCTCGGCTCTGACTGGTCAACACACGCTACCAGTTGACAAGAAGCACGCAATGTTTACTACGACCGCGCTTTAACTTTCCGTAGAGAATAAACGTCATCCACATGTGTTTCCTGGTGCTCTTTCTTAATGCGACCAGCCCTTGGATTCTGGTTGGTTGCCACGCCAGGATACTACGGCGTTAGCACAATGGAAACCAATGGTACACCACAGTGCAAATTCTGTATCGAGGGCGACCTATTTGAAGAATAAAGAAATGCTTCTTTCAGGACAGCACGGTACGCAGTCCCTCACAGAAGGCAACGACTCCAAGCGACCATAGCTAAGTAGAGACTGCGTTGGGACAAGGGCAAGACGAATGATCACGTCCTAGTTAGTAGGAGAAGACAAAAGACAAGTGTATCTTGCACAGATTACGGTCAGAGTCCTCGACGCGCGTCTCCCTACAGGGGGTGATAGGTACGTGAATAACTAAGTTTCATGCAAGGGCCAATCAGTAGGCCTAGTGATTTGATTGGGAGTTTGTGGATCGTCGTGATTGGAAGCACGAAGTCCGAATGTGTGCATGTTCGATCGGCTCGAAAGCCACGATGACCGGGGGAGTCCCTAGTAGAAGACGTGAGCGAGAAAAAAGATCTGTCCTGAAAGCTCTGCTAGAACCTGACTTCTGGATCATTGTAAAAAAAACTTTGCAGAAAATCCATGTCTTCTTGGTGTAACCATCAACCTTGGAAGACTTGAATCCCAGCTTCAGCCGCGTCCTTGATCTGATCTTTCTCGCCACCGCCACCATAATCAACATTAAGAGGATGGATACGGTGTGAACCCATCCACATCTCAGTGGCCAAATAGACCCAATTAAAATCTCAGGTTCCACCAGCCTGGCATTGGGGGATGGTGAACTAGCTGACGGCGGTATTTACGCAACAAATGGTTATACCAGTCTTCCTTACTCATATCGGAAGCGTAATTGAGGAATAATTATTCGTCGCTGTGCGACCGCCTTTGAGAGCTCTGAGACAGAGTTGCAAGGTCGGGCAGGAAACCCGGAATCTGTCTTGCAGCCAGGTCAGATTGGTGATCGTCGACCCCATCAGCACCTAAGTTAGCCTTTTTGCAAAATCCAAAATCCCCAGAGCCAACGAACAAGGGAAGGGCAAAAAGAAAGGATGCAAAAGATCACGCGGAAAAGAGAAAAAACGGTCAGAACAAAAGATTGGAAGGGGGGAGCGTGGACGAACAACCTTAAGCTTGAATTGACACTGAGCCAAATTGACGCGGAAGGGCACACGCGAAAGATCGATACTGCGGTGTTCCGGTTCGCCGGGTTTCTCGCGCAGAAGCAGTTGTTCGAGCAGGCCCAACGCCTCTTCGTATTTGGCGGCAGCCTCGAACCACTTGCCTGCAGCATAGAGGTCGTTGCCCTCCTTACGCAGACTGGGCACCGTCTTGGCTTTCTCCTCCGGAGTCATGATCCAGGTCTCCTTGCGAGCCTGACTCGGCAGTACAACCCTTTAGGCGTGTGAAGACGACGAGAGGCAAAAAATCTTAAAATTTCGTTAATCCAGCATTTAGGCATGAGTTAATTCTACCGTCTCGCGAAGTGAAGCGAAGACAGGTAGCCTACCTCCACCTAAGGGCACACAAATAAAGATATCAGTATTCCAAATCTGCACGGGAGCACATATCATCGTCCTATTTGCATACGGCAGTTGAAATCGAAATTGGGAAAAACGGTCCGTAAGAAGTGACAGGCGCGTAAAGGAAGCCTCGAAAAATGCTAGTTTCCGTTTTGCCAAAAACTGCTATCTAACAGTGACAATGACGTAGACCAACATCGCTAGGACACCGACTGCACTCCAGCCACCTGCTCATCAGCGCGGTCCAGCGGCCAAACGCTGCACACCGTACACCCCTCTGGTCATTCGAGCACCACCGGCTTCAGAGGCTCAGCCCGCCTCAAACATGATTCTACCACACCCTATATGCACGACAACCCATCGTAAACGCATGTTGGCCACAGTCCCCTACTTGCATACATAAACCGCGCATTAGTTTTAAGGGTGGGAATATCTTATATAGCCCCCACCGACAGGACACGGGAATAGGAACGTACCGCCCGTAATACAGGTTGTCTTAAGTCAAATTCCGAGAACGGTACCTATTCCCGTGTCTTAACTCTAAAACTGGCCTTAGTCCTAGTCCAAAGCTTGGCCCTTACTCTAATCATATCTTAACCCTAATCGCAAACGTGACTATAACACTAACGTTAACCCTGGCCACAATTTCGCTGAAAACATAGCGCAAAGCTACCTGCGTTACGCGACGTTCCTACTCCCGTATCCCTCAGGTAGGGCACAGAAACAATCCTTACCGTCGTAAGTATGGGCTGGACGAATTTTCAAAAATGCGTCCCAAGATAAAAAATATGGAATCCCTCCAACCCTGGTGACATACATACGGGACCATTAGAGGAAAAAATCTCAGAAATAGTGAAACGCGGTATACAGCAGATAAAGTTTGTGGGACCAATCCCTTACAGTATTACGTTAATTAAAGCAGGACGTTTAGTTGACCTTTGCCAGTCGGAAGAGTTTACGTCAACAAGAGGCATATTAAGACAGAAGATACAAAGAATGAATAGTCAGACAGTTTTGTCGCTGTTTGGGAAGCATTGCCATTTGCGCGCTCAAAAGTGATAAAACAGGGAGAGCCCCAAAATCGACGTATAGGCAAATCTGGCAAATCCACATAACCAGATCAATAATATCCGAAAACTGGCCATATTTCCGCCAGCTTTACAAAATAATTACTTCAAACTGTCTCACCTAATTAGGCATCAGGGCACACAACGTTTTCTTCCCCCGGGGAGTTCTTACAAATCACCCTGCTGGGAATGTCATATTAGCAGTAACTGCGAAAGACTCGTTGAGTCGTTTGCTGCGCACATGTGAGCGTTATTTTAGGCATAAAAACATACACGTCCAAGGTGTGTCTCAGCGTGTACCAACCGGAGATGGCCTATCAGCTTTTACACTACTGACGGCTGAGGGAAGAGAATGAAGGAAAGCAGCCAACGCTGAAAACTTATAAGTAGAAAGGGGAGTTGGGGAGGGGGGGGGGGAAGGAGACATAGCTGAGCTAGCAAAAGTCCATAGTGCATCCGGCAAGTAAGCCAAATTTGTGAGCGTTATCGGGTTTGGTCAGGCTGGTCAGCATCAAGAGGCTGACTCTTCCTAGCGGCTGCTTAACCTAAATGGGACATGTTAAACAGGATTTCAGGCTTCGAGGATTGCACACAGGGAACAGAACTGCGAAAAATGCTTTTGGTCATCTTGACAGACAAAGCCTGGCTAAGCTGCGCACACATGGAACAAGTCTACTTTAGGCGCCGCCAGTTTGTTTAGAGAATAGAAAAAGAAAACTTAGAATAAGCCCACCCATTTCGGCTGCACTTTGGCCCCATTAGATTTAATTTCCTGCTCAGTCAATAGTGCGCGGATTGGGAATGTTTTAAGCCAAAAGGGGCGTAATAGCAAGGAGAAATAAAAAAAAAACGGCATAGTACAGGGATACATGTTTCGAGTTAATAGTTCCGGAAACATGAGTCTGTAGGAATGAATGTTTCCAAAGGTACTTGGACTCCGGAATATGCTTAGTTTGATGATGGACTCCCGAGCGAGGGTATGATTGGCTGGGATGTGTGTCACACTTGCCCTCGTGGTTGTCTCTAAGGGCATCAGTCGAATTATTCCAGGTGTACTAGTGCATTTATGAGATTCAGTCGGTTGTTAGAGTGCCTGTGCAAACCTGTCCGCTCCCTCCGCACACAATTATCTCGAAGGCTAAAAAAAAATACTCGATTTTACTCACCTGGGCTGCCGGCAACCGCTCACAGACTCTTCCCGCAAAATCCCACAAAAGTGGAGTTAAGCAGTGGGACGGCAGAGCGGAACGGTGGACTGGGATCGGGACTGCGGGCTGACGGAAAAAGGTGTGAAACGGGGAGGCGGAGGAGAGCGCTGGGAAGAAAAAATCTCGTCTGGCATGCTTTGCGACAGAGTGGCAGCACGCTTCAAGAAACGCAGGGGAAGTTTACACGACGCGACACTCAGACCATGAAAATTCAGTGAAAAACGGCACCGAAGCCATGCTGACGGCAGCCAGTGAAACAGAGCTCCCAGTCAGCAGTGTTTTTTTCTGAGTGAGAGGCCTCAAGGAGAGCGTGTGTACCTTAACTACTAACACCGCAACGAAGACAAATTTTCGGGCGGCAGCAAAAGGTGGAAGAGATCGTACGCAAGAATAGAGAACCCGCAGATGCTGTTTCCGGGTGCGATATGGTCCCGTGGGAGACCAGGGAGTGTGGTGGTTATGGCGAGGCGGCACTTTTCTCGTGCACTAACAGTTCACTACTTGGAGGTGGGTTGCGCATAAAACGAGCCAGGCGGTAGATCCGTTGAACCAAAATAGGGACTAGAGCGGGGTCTGGCAGGGAATGTGCACCCATGACAAAAACCAACGTCGGGGACGTGGACGTCAGGCCCAGATGCAGGCCCAAGACGCGCCAAATGGGACCCGAGCCGCTCCCTCCTTTTTTTCTTGTTTAAAATCCTGGCCAGTGTACGCTGTGGCCCAGGGGGTGTGGTAGTACGCCTAGGTGCGGGTTTTTGTCGTGTCAGCCACCTGCATCCCCTCCACTCGCCGATCTTGACTGTATCATGACACCGGGTCAAGGTGGGTGAGGAGGAGAGTGCGATAGATGCTGCGAAAATCCACTACTACTTTAAACTAACGCACACACACACACACGCACGCCACCATCCCCGCTCGCACCCTGCTGTAGAGCACTGGGTGGACATTAGCGATCACGATGGTCAGACTGTCGTGATTTGGAGGCGGTATGAAATATTAGAAGTATCAGAGAAGAAAAAATAACTGCCGAAGACGGTGATTCAATGGGAAAGGAGGAAGGAGAGTTGAGCAAACCGATCAGAGACCAGGAAGAAATACTAACAGTAAAAACACCGCAATTCGGAGGGTGCCGAAGTGCAGGTAACGGCAAATCGAAATATCAGTGCACAAACGCATAAAATAACCAGCTATGGGAGAATCCGACACAAACTGCAGGAATGCCGACAGCAAAACATCAAGAAGTGGACGATGAAGTCAGAAGCACAATGGCATACACAAGGGAGATCTATACATGAACAGGGGAGGGTTCATTCAAAGCTCCAAAGAAGCTGCCCTGAACACCACATAACAGAAAGCAGAAACAGATACATCAATCAAATAAAACTGTCCCATTGATATCCGTCTAACGCAGATGATAGGCACAAAATCATTTTGCGACGAAACAAATGGCCTACGCTCGACATGAATACCGGAGCTGCTACCAACAGAGTCCGAAAACAGCCTGCTCTGAGATGCCAATCAGATCGCAGTGCGACCATCCCACAACATCAAAGGTGCTGAAACCGGCCGAGTTCTCGCTAAATACCCCGGTACCTACTGAAATTACTGTCTTAAGCAAGAGAAACACTCCATTACTGGAGGACGCAACAACCTTTCTGTGCACGAGGAATACGGGCTGCAGTGCACGCAACTGGAAGCATGGTGGCCACCTGAAACTCACGGCACTGTCTCCGTCTATACGTTGCACCCAGGCAAACGTCGCCCGCTCCCAGCCCTGCCCTGCCCAGTCGTGAGTGCATTTTTTCCAAGACAGAGGGAAAATTAGCCCAAAAGTGAGGGCTCAGCGCGCAGGCGTACGGTCGCACTTTTGATGTTTCTCAGAATTTTTAACTTACGGTGACTCCCTTATTTCGTTCTAGGTCATGCAAGTTTACACTGATGGCACAAGATATGGGTGCTTTTAAACGAAAACACGACGTCTGATTGAGAGTGAAAATTGTGGCGCCGACGAAAATTAGCAAAGGGAGACGAGCGGAGCAGTTCCGAAGTCCAAAAACTGGTTGCACTGTTGGTCGGAAAACACTTCTCTACATTTCGCCTTTGTTGAGTTCGTAAGGATGGGGTGGTGCCTTCTTAGAAAGTGGCTCGCGTGGTTAAGCCCATATGAACAACAATGTTTTTTTTTTAAAGAAAATGTTAAATGCCATAGACGTCTTTTTCGGAAGCCATGTGCCATTTTTAATCTGGACAATTTGTCGCGGATCAAAGTGCCTTGTTTAGAACTCGGGAATAGGAGCCTCCCGCTACACAGGTGGTCTTACGTTACGTTCTTGGAAGGGTACTTATTCCCGTGTCCTAATCCTAACTATAATCTACACGTGTCCTAGAAAACTTCCTGATTAGCCTCACATCATACTCTCTCGAAAGTAGACTTAACCATCCCTCACGCTCGGAACTGCTCAACTATCGTCTCCCTTTGCTAATTTGCGTCGGCGCCACAATTTCCACTCTCTGAATGCACCTTACAACCGCGTCGACTCCCTATTTCTCTCAATCAGACGTCGTTTTTTTCCGTTTAAAAGCACCCATATCTTGCGCCATCAGTGTAAACTTGCATGACCTAGAACGAGATAAGGGAGTCACCGTAAGTTAAAAATTCTGAGAAACGTCAAAAGTGCGACCGTACGCCTGCGCGCTGAGCCTTCACTTTTGGGCTAATTTTCCCTCTGTCTTGGAAAAAATGCACTCACGACTGGGCAGGGCAGGGCTGGGAGCGGGCGACGTTTGCCTGGGTGCAACGTATAGACGGAGACAGTGCCGTGAGTTTCAGGTGGCCACCATGCTTCCAGTTGCGTGCACTGCAGCCCGTATTCCTCGTGCACAGAAAGGTTGTTGCGTCCTCCGGTAATGGAGTGTTTCTCTTGCTTAAGACGGTAATTTCAGTAGGTACTGGGGTATTTAGCGAGAACTTGGCTGGTTTCAGCACTTTTGATATTGTGGGCTGGTCGCACTGCGATCTGATTGGCATCTCAGAGAGGACTGTTGTCGGCCTCTGTTGGTAGTTGTGATGAGAGAGTTCTTCAACGAGCGTAAAAGGATTTGTTATATTATGTGCTCGGTTACCGTCAATCGGGGTAAGGGGCAAGATGTCGTTAGGGTGTAAACTAGGTAAAAAGCGGTAGAGAAGTCAGTCAGCCAGAAATCGCCCAGTTCGGTGCACCGTCTAACTTTCTGTTCGATTTTTTTGTGTCAAACGCTTTGACGTTGGACGATAGGCCATGGTTTACGAGATGTCAGAGAAATTTGAGCAGTTCGTTCCATTTACCAATCCTCGTCGTTTAATTAGCGCTCTGGTACTGTTAACGTGGCAGCATGACAGACGCATGAAGTAGTGAGGAGTAATTAACAAAAAGTCCAGTCTTGTGAAAATCCGCGTTTTTTTAAAAAAAAAAACAATCTTCGATAAAAGTGTAAATGCGAGTGACCGAAGTCAAACTTCACGCCCTGTGCCAGCAACAGCCCCTGGCGGTTGTATTCAAATCTGCCTTAGACCAGAAAGTCCGCGATGGCAAAGGAGCGAAGTCCATACCCTCCGTCGAGAGTTGTTGTGTGAGAATTCTGTCGTGCGAGGTAGTCGTTGGCTGACAGCAGTAGGGTGCACAATTAGCGCCCTTTGTACCTAGTTGTCTCCCCATGCTCGCACAGAGAAGCCCTTCGACAGAGAGAGAGAAAACGCTAAAAAGCCAAAACTTGCAGTCCCCGAAAATAAAACCCCACATGCTGGTGTTCGAGGCTAACTGACTGTTGGCAAAGCATTAGCAGACATAGTGAGCCAGGGTGTGTTTTGCCTTATTTGCGCAGTTCTGTTCATCCGGTGTACGGGCTTCCGGTCGGTGCCTTTTTTGCTTTGACTAACCCAACCGACAAACCGTTCTTACCCAGAGCTTACTTAACACCAGTTGAGTTACCATGCGGGGAGAGAATGTTGGAAAAGTCAACCCAAACTCTGGTGATGAAAACAATTGCAGCTGACAGGGGTCGTAGGCACACGTCTAGACCAATAGGTGTTTGAACATAAGTTCTCTCCGGCAGGTACGATCCACTTAATGTTGCTCGGAATTCCCAAGAAAGTGCTCTGGATACGCATAAAATGTTGCAAAGGAGAACTGGGACGTGGAGTCTGTTTCGTGGGGTTCTCAAGTGATTAAGGCTCAGTAGGCTTAAGATAGGAACAGTGAAAATTTGAGCAAATAAAAGACTCTGTGAACCGAGGATAGTCCCCGTCGAGAAACAATGGAGATAGATCGTCCTGTAAGTGTGCGATGAGGCAGAAAACAAACATGAGCCGAAAAAAAGAGAATGTTAACAGCCAGACAACATGCCCAAACTGTCGCTAACGCTCTGCAGACACATTATAAGCCATCTGAACCGTGATAATGCCCACGATGCGAGTGCAAATAGGCGTACCTTAACCGACACTGCGATTTGGTGGTTGTTCAGTTGTCTTTCGCTTTGTCCTGGGGGTTTCGCGCTAAACAGGGGAGAACAGGTCAGTCAGAAACTTAACCACTAACACATCGTCACGGTGTCTACTAACAGTGGGTGACTATGAGAGGTATGCAACCTTAGTCACTAGACTCCACCAGAGTATCCTACCAATGACAACTGTAGACCGGGACGCCCAGCTACTTGGTCGCAGTGACCTGACCGGTACAACGCGCAGACTGTGTTTAGGAGGACCGTAAAGTAATAACCACATGCAACCTCAGTTCGGTCTAATAGACCTCGAGCAGCATGTGACATGCGTCAAGACAACCTACTGGGAAGACGAACATTTTAACTCCACAATCCATGCTCGGACTCTTGCGAGCAGCAGTGGCAGAAGAGCTCGAGTTATAGAGGGTGACTTAAAGCCTGAGACGTTAATCGAAATTCCAAAGTATGATTCCAGTCAAAAAGGATTACAGAGAGGGGGTTGCAATATAGACTGCCATATAGAGGAGCCCCAATATAAGTAAGTTACATCAGAATGTCAGCTTTTTATGCGCGCTTTTTCGGTTGTCTGTAGGAATCGCACTCGCCAAAATGGTTACTTAAGTTGACTGCATTTTCTCACTGACTTCCGACGCTTTTGTAATTTCAAACGTATTTCGAAAAAAGCATCCACAAATGCACCCTTAATTATACTCTTTTTGAAGTAAAATACGACTTCATTAAACGTTCTACTCGATGAGAGAACTTTTATTCAATTTTAAAGACTTAAATTCTCACATACTTTTTAACGCGCTCTGCCGTTGTAATTGCACTTATTGTTTACAGAATACATGCCGCACACGTTCCATTTACGTAAACTCATACATTTATCAATGCTTTTTTATGAAGATGCTATACAACGCCCATAAAATTCTGCAATGCATATGGACCATGTCGCATACTTCAAACGGACCATTAATAGAAGGGCGGATACGATGCTATGTAAACAAGCACTTCACGGCCTTAGAAAACCTTGTAACTACGAGCTTTTTAAAACCAAAAGAAAGCTCATCTCCCAGCAAGAATTTTGAAGGCATAATTTGCTTCAAGAAGAGTACAAGAAAGGACGTTTTTGTGCACGCTCACTACGAAATATATTCAAATCAAAAATCCGTGACGAATTCACATGACTTGGGTAGAAATTTTACGTTAAGTACAGCTTTTGCAAGAGATCGAAAGACGCGCATTCAAAAGCCGACATCCTGATGTGACAGTAATAAACTGGGATGATGCTGCGTGATAATCCATGTTACTGACCAAAGTAGGAATTCCTTCTAGCCGAAATCACATTTCCAAAATCCCAGTGAGCGTTTCACCTACTGGATGTGTATACTTCGATGCCCCCCTAATAAAACGGGCCACGCGATTTATGCGCTGGATCAACATGAGAGCTAGGTCGGAGTCCGGTAGGCGTTATCGGGAATGCGCATCCATAACAAATGCCAACATTCGGGGTGTAGTGGCGGGCACAGTTGTAGGCTCAGGCAGCACCAATTGGGATCCGAGCCGCACACAGTTTTTGTTGCTGCTTAAAACCCTGGTCAGGCGTTTGTTGTGGACCAGGGGATGTGGTGGTACGCCTAGGTGCGGTTTTCGCCGTACCAGCCACCTGCGTCCCCTCCTGCCTCCGGTCTTCTTGACTTGATCATGACACCGGATCCAGGTGGGAAGAAGGAGATAGTGTGGTAGGTGCAGCACAAGTCCACTATCACTATAAACTAATTCACGCGCAAGTCACCGTTCCTGCTCTCCCCCTGCTGTGGAGCACACGGTGGACGTTGTCGGCAACGACGCTCAAATCGCCGTATACCTTAACTTGGCCCCACAACGAACCACGTCAGACATTCAAATCGAGCGACGCGAGTGTCCACCAAAGGTTACTGTATTCTGATCACAGGTTGCGGTAAAGTACGTATTATTTAAGAGGAAATAAAGCATCCACAGCGTCAGGAGACAAGCATTAACTTCAAGTCTGCCTTCCAGGAATAAAATCAGGACAAAATAGACGTTTTTTGCAGGCTACATTTTCACTGGAAAAAAAGGTGTCAAGGTGGTCCGCTGTTCATGGCTAGGGTTCTCAACTCCAGAGTAATAAAGCAGGTAACTTAACCGACAGTGGGTCGCCAGAGTGCGTTTATGAACACTTAGCGACATTACCAAGCCGTCACACATGTCGCACAAATAGGTATAATTCACATGTTACAAGATTTGTTGATATAAAACCTACAGATGACTGATAGGTGCTGAGAAAGAAACAGATACCAGTCCGAGTAGGATGTCCTGTGGGCACGATAGGATGACAAACAGTGCACAAGTTACCAACTACCACGGCGCCACGAATCAGCAATCGCCGCAGATAAGAACGCGGTTTCACCGGAGAGAGGGCGCATTCGGCCGATCACACGAATAAAGCCGCCAGGTGCTGACACAAAAAGACAAGATCGGGGAACTAGAGCTCAAATTAGACACCGCCGACGACTCGAAAACAGTCGAATGTGTCTCCCCCTACGAGGTCCGTTTTCCCCACATGTGGTGCACAGTGCTGCGCACCATCACGCCAGTCGAGGCAATGCTGATTTGCAAAGTGTGTGGTTTGCTGCCGCCTTCGTGTGTGCGAGGACGGGGATGCCGAAAAGACAGGATCTTTTCTGTCAGTCTATCTGCGAGCCATCCACACAGAGCGCGCAGGGTGTGACTCCCCGTCAACAGTCATGACAGCCACAAACAGCGAGTTGAAGGCCAACGGACAAGTGGCCTCCAAACACACACAGAGAGAGACAGTACAGACAGACGTGGCTGGCAGGCTCCCCGGCAAGTCAGTGGTATATGTAAAGTACATACAGTCGGTAACAGATATCATGAAATGTTGGCGGAAATTCGCAAATGAGTTTTGATTAAGAAGGATTACTCAGGTGGGGTTGTAATAATAATAATAATAATAATAATAATAATTACGTAGTACAATCCCGTAATATTTCGAATTCGCCAGGATGTTGGCCTTTGAATGGACTTCTTTTCGACCTGTAAAAACCGCACTCTTTAAAAATGACTACATAAGCAGCAAGCACATTCGATAGACTTTCGGACGTCTTATAGATTCAAATACATTTTATAGAGACGTGTACACAAATATGCTTTCTTTTATTCCTTTGGTAGTAAATCAGGCCCTTTTTACTTTTTATGCTCGAAGAGGGGAACTAATTTGGTTTTAAAAAATTTTACCATCCTCGAATAATCTTGAGCCGCATGTGCCGTTGCATTGGCGGTCACCGACCTCAGTATACGAGGTGTATACTTTCCCAGTAAGGAAAATCGTACATTTCTCTATGCCTTTAAGACGATACCATGCAGAGTTCATAAAGTTTTGCAATGGATGCGGGCTGCGTTAATAGACGGCACACTACACGGTCTACAAAATCTCATAATCAGAAACTTCTTAAAACCGAAAGGTATTCTATCTCCGAGCATAAACTGTAAAGACGGCTTGATTTGCTACCAAATGACTACAAGAAGGAAAACATTTGTGCTCATTTTATATAAAATATTTTCGAATTTATAGGGCCATCGAAAATCGACGTGAAAAATGCATACTGCTTAAGCAGTCATTTTTTGACCGGGTGCGGTTTTTACAGGAGGTCGACGGAAAGTGCGTTTAAAAGGCGACATCCTGTCGAGTCCCAAATATCATAGGATTATGCCGAATGATAATCAACATTATAACCCCACCTAGGTAATCCTTCCAAATCGGAAACACATTTCAGAATTTCGACTAACATTGCATGAGATCGGCCGCTCACTGTAATTCACGCGATATTTGGTATGATGAACGGTATCAGCCATCTAATAAAGTTGCATCAACCAGTGGCGTATTGCTGTTCGGGGTCCCTGGATAAAAGCTGCACCAGAATAGGACCTCCTTTTGAATAAATACGGGTGAAAAGCCCAAACCCTGACAGGATTTGGTAAAAAGGAGTTAAAAGAAGGGCCAGAGAGGTATCGCGACAAAACTTAGGAAGAAAGAGTCTACTCGAATGCGCGGGACGCTAAAACACAGTACTTTCGGACGCTTTTAAGCATTAAAGGTATCCACGTCGGCTAATCACCCTGCCCTTCCTCGTAGGAGAAAACTCGGTGCACCAGTTTGCGAAGGTTTTGTGTCCGCAGAATTATCAAACCGAAGCTGCCTTCTACTCCACAAAAACAAGTAAGCAGAAGCTTCCTCAACATTAGAAAAATTAGGAAGAATGATCCGTTAGACTCACGAGATGAGCTCAAAAATGAATTCCAGGGTCCTGGGATTGGTCATTAAGTCATCCAGATCGGGATATCCGAGACCACCCTGATCACGGAGGCTCATAAATCCGCAGGTGTGCTTTGGAGCCCCGCCTGCGCTGCCCGGAGCTCCCTTGTCGAGCATGTAGTCTCGCAACTTTTTGTTAACCGCGGGGAAAGAGACGAGACAACGCGCGGGGACCAAGAAGGAAGCTACCTCGCCTACCAACATGGTGCCCAGACACTGCTCCCAAAACTACATGCGCAAGAAAGGAAAGGTTGAGAATGTACTGGAAAAACATGGCCACCAGAAGTCAAGGAGACCAGAAGCAGGTAACAAGAAACAAGTAACTACCAGGAAAACTTGTAAACCATTGACAGTATCGGTTAGGAAAGCTCGCGTACAGTGGGTGGCGTCAATGAAAAAGTAGCTCTTAGGCAACACCCGAGAGCGAATCAAAAATTCGCCTTTTAACAAACTTGAACACAGTTCGGTATATCTGGTTTAAAGAAATATATTACATGGAAGAGTTTCCTTGTTTTGGTGTATACGTCTGCCGGTCTGAGGACTGACAATGTCGTTGAGATCATGTTTAATACGTTTACAGGGGTTGCGTTGAGGAATACCCCATGTCTCAATGCCTGCATCCCTTCTTCCCTTAGTTTTTTGAGCAACAAGTTGGACCTTAGAAAACAGTCTGCGGAACGTGCTGTGATAATTCGCTATGGTAAGATGTGGTTTGGTAGCCCCACCTGATGGACACAATACTGTTCGGGTTAGGGGTTATGGTTTAGGAATAGGGGTTATAGTTTGGGGTTAGTGCAACTATTCCTCAACCACTCAAAGTGCAGCTGCCCATTCCCAATAGCTTTGCTTCGGCATACAATTACTTGACCTCGTTGCCTGTGCGTTCCCCGGTCCCACCTGTAAAAACCCCTATTACCACCGGTCCTGTATTAGAGGTGACTTGGGTTTGTTTACTTCGGGTGGGGTTACATAACCACATCCGACCTTCTCTACTGTCCACCCGTCCCCTACGCGAGCAGTAAGGTAGTTCTTCCACCCATAAATTCCGAGGACTTGCTTCTGTCTAAGCCTGGCAGTATTTACGCAGCCTAGATTAAGGATCCACATGACAGGCGACAATGACTCAGTAGAGTCCTTATCGTGTCATGAAGTAAAAATTACTTTTTCGTTTCTAAGTATTTCGCTTGTGAAGAGGTCGCTTTTAAGTTTAACTCGTAGAAGAGAGGCAGTGGAAATTCCGAATACACGCAAGTAGGAAGGTAAGAAAGGAAAGGAAGTAAACAAATAATCTTCAGGCCAGGTAAAGGTCTGTGGGTCATTTAGCCCGAATTGCCTAATGGCTAACTTCTAGTTTGCTCACAAAAATAACGAATTAAGTTCAGCGAAAAATTTCCGAAGACAAAACCTGCTATTAATGATGAGAGTTTTGGACTACTACTAGTACTACTGCTTCTACTGCTGCTGCTGCTGCCGCTGCTACTACTACTACTACTACTACTACTACTACTACTACTACTACTACCATTGCCACCACCAGGGCTGCCATTCTGTGATGTGAGGAAATGGATCGGCCGAGTAAGTCGCAGGAAAAACCCGTTGAAACTAGTACATTTGTTTAAAAAGGCATTTTCTCTTAACTTTAAACGGCAGCCAAGCAGGTCAGTTACGAGCTCGCCAATCCGCTCACATAAGTCTGCCATAATCTCCAGTTCAAAGTTACAGCCGTGCCGGAAATGTGCTCTCAAAACTGTCATCTTATCAGCCAATGGTAATCAGTAGACAAGTCAATAAATGCGTCAGAATCGGTTCAGCGTAACATGACTACAACGGACTTCTCGTGGAGCAGATAGCTGCGTCGGCTGCGTTTGTGCGGATGATAAGAGAGATTCGAGTATTGCGCGCTTCTATCTGTTCTGAAAACTGGCTAAAGCAACAAATATATCTTTAGTTACATCCGAACAGAAATTTTCTAGCTCGAAATTTAACAGAGACACATGCCAATGTTGAAATTTAGATGAAAAGTACGACGTATAAAAGTTGAAAATGATCATATCCACATTAAAGCTCAACAAGAACGCAATGGTGCCTACGGATGAAAGTAGGATTGAAGAGTTTCGCTCACAAGAGTCAAGAAATAAAAGAATGACTAACTCCAAGGTGCACAGTCTGTATGTGCGACATAGGTGCGGTAGACAGTGGACACAGGGGAGCCTCGAAAATATTTCTTCCTTTAACATTATATAAATGAATAAATTCGCGCAAAGCCTCAGGTATATCTACAACAATTGTGGCGATTTCCTTTTTGACATACACGTAGTTCGGATTATATGGTGCGACTGCACCAGCCACGTAAGCAATTCTCACAAGGGGCGCAAAATCCAGTTACCTGCATGCGACCTCGTAATACAGGCCGATATGAACAGTGTACCGTCACCATGCAAACTCCTTTACGGTTGCCTATTACTGCTGATTCTCGTCATACATGTACATGAAAATGGGAAGTGCGCAAAAATGTAATGATGCCCTGCGTGAGTCACGGGTTGTCTTTCACAGTAAGACGAATAACTGTGGTGTGCGTGAGAGAAAAAGGAAACTGGCAAATGCCCACCTCTATTTGAAAATCCTTGCCCGAATAGAGTTCCATCCGTTTTCCGTACTTCTTAGTGTCATCCAGGAAGATGTCGGGTTCGTTCGGGTCACGAATACGATAGTCGAAAATGAACTTTGTTTCAGGTGGGTAGGCGAGGCCTCCACCGGCGGCCCGACATTCGTCCGGCAGTTGTGTGTGGCTGCCAACACCACCGGTGTGAAGAGTGCGCTTCATGATGTTGTTGTGCATCAGGTAGGCTAGAGCGGAGGAGGGCGCCTGGCGTTTGGTCGTCGCCGCTGTAGCTGTTGCTGGATCTGACCGGGCGGATCGCGCTCTAGCTAGCGCTTCAGCCATGCGGTTGGCCAGCTTTATGCTCTCTTCTTTCTGCAGCTCGGATTTACAGTGAGAATGGTCCACACAACAGTCTTTTCTGCGCCCACCAGACTTGAGGCTTGCGGTGGAATTTTCTGTGGTGGAGCTTTCGCTGTCAGGGGTGGTCTTGGGGGCGTGAGAGGTCATGGGATTGATCTAATGGAGACAGGACGTAAAAGAGATAAACCATCTTATTGAAAGAGGAGAGCAGGACGGAAGCAAGGTAAAGAAACATGGACACATCTAGAGGCATACACGATAAAGAGGACTGGGATAGCGAGCTTATTTCTTCGTGGTCGTCATCAGACGTCCCAAATCCAGATTGAGAAGGCCTGATATCAAAAAAGCAAGTCCAGTCGCTCAATGGGGCTAACGCGAAAGCAAACTGAAGGAGGGCTCACGATGCGTTTGTTTTGATCGTAAATAGTGGTGGTCATGTTAGAAGGACGTTTATCAATGGTAACTGCCTTGTTTCAAGTCCCCAGGCGTACTCTCACCCCAAAATTCCACTTAACTTGCCGTCGTCAGGGCCTCATGCCGGGTGGATTAATTAACCACTGGGAGGCAGAAATTTCATAAGATGGCGAGCATGAGCAGGCAAAATGGAACGTTTTCTTCCGGCCGATTTTCCGTTTAAGACCAGTCTTACCCCGAACCTAGGCTGGATCGGCCGGGGACATCAAAGAGAGTCATCATTTTAGAGAGAAATAGCGGCCGAATGACTGTCGGACTGGGCTGGTTGTAGGGCGGCAATAGCGGGCTGCTCAAAGCGACTGGCAGAGGGACACTTTTGAGAAGTTCCCCTAGTGCCGACGAAAACGCATCCCCCCCCCAAAATCCGCTGTCCTGGTGTACCGCTTCTACGAGGTGTTATGGGGATCAGCAATTATCGTCCCGGGTAGGGCAGTGATCGTGCCTCACGGTCTTCATGCTGCGAGACTTCAAGAACAACTGTCAGGTATCGCCAAAGTCAAGTGGTCTAACAAGAAACAGTACACTGTCTAACTGCCGTGATGATCAGGTGTGAGCAGTGACGAGGGAGGCACCTATTTCCGTGCCCTAACTTCAGCCCTAACCGCCCCGGAATTTAGCGTTAGTCCACCTACAATGCGGGGGGTACGTATGTCCTTGCCCTACCAGGATGGTAGTCCCAACATAGCCGGATGGACGTGGGTGCAGTGGCTAACAAGGTTGTACAGCCCGTCAATTCGTGCCGCATGCAACCTGCTTCCTAGATCCTCGTTAAAGAGGCCTCAACAAAGGGGAGGGTTCCAAATTTTATATACGTGATCATGCCATAATGGCCTTATCGAGTGGCTATTTCGGGACGACTTCCGATCCTAAGCAAGAAACAGTTATCCCCTCAATCGAAGAACCTAAAACTGGCCACTCCAAGCCCCGCATGACAACTGAAAAACGCGGCAGATCAATTATAACAAGGAGTGCGTTGACTGGCCACCATAAGAGCTATCTCAGCATCAGCCTTGCTCTTCCTTCTCTCTACCATGCAGTAGTGTCTGTCCAAGCCTCTCGGTGGACTGATTCCGAGAATTCGTACAGTGGCCGGCGCGGTGTGGGCCACTTCACACGCTTGACGTACGTACTCGTGTGAGTAAAACCCGACTAACGCATGCCACGAGCCGATGCGGTCACTGTTTTTATATAGCCCAACAGCGGACCACCCGGTCTGTTGACAATGAGGTAATGCAATATCGCAGTGGTCTACCGACGTGCGCTACATAACCCAGTTTAGTACGTTGTTGAAAAAGTTGGGGAGGGAGTACGTTTCCGGCGGACGCTGGTGGTGACGAAGGCCACATTTCCGTCCCAACTAGCGGACGGACTACCACGTCAAATGACCGCCAAACGACTGTCGCTTAATGAATACGGTCGAGACGGGCAGCGAGCACAGCTGAGATCCCGTGGGTACGAGAGCGGAAGTATGCTCGTGTCTGGAGTCTTTTATGAAAATCACTTCGCCTCCTAGGCTCACTGTTGACACACTTTGGTGCAGTCAAACCGTCAGTCGCCTTCAGCCAGACACCGCAGGTCTTCTTGCTCTGACGGAAAATCGCGATGCTCATCTGTACTACAAGCCGAAGAAGACAGGGTTCACCTTGGAGTGCAATCGCCGAGACTTCACTTGCCATGACTGGCGCAAACCCAAAGACTGGATGTCAACCAGCAGACTTCAACTATCAGATGCAAGACGACGCTCTTAAACTCCCGGAGTCGTGCTTCTGGGCGCGGCATCGTCAGTCAACACGGCCGAGGAGAACCGATGGAAAGCGAATTTGAAGGACTTGTCCCAATAGCCTGTGACCCCCAGGCAGAGCAGAACCTGAATTAGACTTTTGCAGTTACATGTGTTCGATGCTTTTAAAGAAATGGCTGGGCCCCCCAACACTTTACAGTGTGAGCAGCGATTAATTGATATTTTCAGTGACCGATGGGGATTACAGGAAGCCTGTCTACCTTAAGTCCAGTTTGGGTATTCAGAAGATCGGTTAGCAAGAATACATAAGCATCCGATAGATTCTCGTTTGGTCAATAAACTCGCCTAGGATGTTTGCAGATTGATTAGATACTGACAGTTAGGCAGGTTCTTCACGGGCTTGCTTGGTTGCTTTAGCGCCTGTCCCCCTACGGGGCATAGATAACCTTCTCATGACCATTAGCCGTCCAATCTGTGAAGAAATTCGCGGCAGGCATTAGTGCTGCAGGACAAGATCTGGGCGGATATGCGTGTCCCTCCCATGGCTGTCACGAAGATGGAGACAATGAATGGCCTCGACGACTTCAATAACCACACAGGCTCAGATTACCTTTGTTGGGAGGGGGTAGTAGATGGCCACGGCGTCAACAGCTGCAGTAGCATCCCGTTGCGGCAATGCACAAAACATGATCCCATACTCACCAACTCCTCCAAACTTCGAAATCGATAGAAGACAACAGAGACCTACTCTCGCTGGCGACACTGGTAACTCCTGGACTACCTCACGTTGCAGTAGCTCGGTAACGGCACGGCGCCAGGAAGAGCCGGATTGGCTTAAGACTTTTGTCAATCATTTGCCTAACTCACGGTGGGTGGAGTTGTTCAAAATTAAGACGGGCGTGCCAGAAGGCCTCGTTGTGGATTGTCAGCATGGTATATGATCCAAAAATATGCGCACGGACAGATTTCAGTCATCAAAACTCGAGTCCTTCTACGAAACCCGCCTTATGGAACCTTTCCCAGAAATCGGTCAGAAGTGTTTTGGCCTCCTCTGTGATAATTTTTTCAACGTCTGTCTTTCTGAGCACACCGACATCAGATAACATTGATTTCAATGCAAGTAGGTAGTTCTGCCTATCCATTGACACAACTCCTCTTCCCCTGCCTGGCGTCTTCATCGGCAGAAGTAGTTTGCTGTAAGTACTTAAGCCCCTTCACGTGCGTTGTACGAGCACAGGAACAACTTATCCAAAAATGTGTGTATATTTGCCGTACGATTGTCTGAACTATTCAATGGAACTTCTTAACTAGAAATGCCAAATATGCAAATTTATACACTTGTCCTCTGTGTAAAATGCATTTTAAAAAACGACAAATAAAAATACATGCGCCCAAACGCTTTCAAATAGCGTAAAAATACTTACAGTGAGTGACCGATCTCATGAAATGTTGGCCGAAATTCTGAAATACGTTTTCGATTTGGAAGGATTACTTAGATGGCGTTGTAATATTGATTATAATTAGGTCTTGGAAAGGTTTTCCAATTCCCGAATAATTTTGAGCTATATCAGCCATTGCATTAGCGTCTAGCGATTACAGTCTACAAGGTATATGCTTCCCGCGTAAGAAACATCATTTGTTTCTCTACGCCTTTAAGAAGATATCATTTAGAGTACATGAAATTTGACAATGAGTGCGGACTCTGTTATACATTTCATAAAGAGCATTGGTAAACAGACAGGTACAATGCTGTATGAATGTACACTGCACGGTCTGAAAAATCGTACAATTAAAAAATTTTCCGAAACCCAAATATATCCCGTCTTCAAACATAAAATGTAAAGCCGACGTCATTTGCCACCAAACGAGTAGAAGAAAGCATATTTTATGCATGTTTTCTATAAAATATATTTTAATTTAGACGACCATCGAAAATCAATGCGAGAAATGCATGCTACCTAAGTAGTCATTTTTTATCGAGTGTGATTGCTGCAGGAGATCGAAAAAAGTGCATTCAAAAGCCGACATCTTGCCGAGTCCGAAATATTACTAGATTATGCCGCATGATAGTTAATATCATAATCCCATCTAAGTAATCCTTCCAAATCGAAAACGCATTTCAGAATTTTGGCCAACATTTCAAGAGACCGGTCACTCACTGTAGGTGATTCAGCTCGAATAGTGGAAGGTATAGTAAATGAAATCAGCGGGCTAATCTACAGAGACACGGGACGCAGGTCCTAGTGTAGACGAATCATCGTATGTTAACGGCCCTTCAGTTTTAATCTGTTTCAATGACACCTAATGTGGCGTCCAAAGTTCAAACATCACTAACAACAAAACGGGCTAAGAGGGAATGCGGCAGCTGGATACCCCTGCAGGAGGCGAAGACTGAGAAGGCCGCAGCATGCGGTGATTTCAGACTTTGAAATGTCCCATTCAACTGCAAACGGCCATTGCGCATATAAGTCGCCGATGTAACTCACCAAATGTGATGACGGAAGTTCATGTGATCATTTCGGGGGATATTAAACATTGCGTACTTTATTCGCTTAACGCCCGATGGAACATGCCGTCTCTCATGCAGAATAGGCTTCTAAGTAACTTTACTAAGAAAAAGCATACAAATTTGGGCTGGAATCACATTAACAGTGTACTTAAGTCATTAACCGCCATGGAATAAGTCTGCGCACCTGCGCTTATTCCTACCCAAGGCATTAATCGAAACGGAACAGATTTACCAATAAAACTTAATTTTTTAGCAATACGCAAGCCAGATGAAGCAAGGGGTGTATAACACCTTATCTTCAGAAAACCAGAAGTTCCTTTCCACAGTTCTTCTCTGTACATCTGCATAATTGCGCGCCTTAAAATGCAGTAACAACGTTTACAGGCAATCCCCCGCCCTAACACAACCATAATTCTCAAGCAACACAAGTATTTCAGAGGTATGGCATATGGCACGGCACTTCTGCTCGGTCTAGCGTCCGCCAATACGTAAGTTAGAAACAGGACGCGCACAACATTAACGGTTTGTACAATAATTTAGCACTTACGCAACCACTCTGAGGTGTACTTGCCATAGAATGGCGCCTAGAGGTAAACAAATAATAGACGAAGACGGAGAAGGTAGTTTTTCGTCTGTAGCAGAACAATTACCAATGGCTACCACGGAGGTGCATTAAGGGGCCAAATATCCGAACCATTTCCATGATTTTACTCTGAAATAAGATGTAGTACGCGACACCCGCCAGCCAAGTGGCCTACTAAAAATTTTCCGAGTCAAAACGCTAGAGATTTGGTAACCAATCAAGAGCACATTCCTCGCAGACCTTCGCTGACTAGATGTGGCATTAGCACGAGTCCACAAATATGATCCAAACTGATATCCGCGAGAAAAAGAACGCCCAAAAACGCAATATTTAGGCAAATGCATTCAAGAGCAGTCTTCTTTTGAAGGCACTGATAAACACTAACTACAGAATCCATCTTCTCGCACAGCCGACTGAGACCACTTAAAATCGCAAAGTATACATTGACATTTCAAGGACATCCTGAAACTCGGCGAACTCCACTGTCGCCAAAAAGCACACAGCAATTTTTCGGAAGGGATGTTCTCTTGATACATAGAGAATTGTGTGATTACGATGGTATCTGCTAATTCTGTTCAACTTTCTTAGTCTCAGACTGGCCTGCCGACACATGACATTCTGGAAGGCCTTAGTCCAATGTCGTCTGTATGCGTGAAGTCAGACGGAATCCTCTTTGACTTAGTCAACCGAATTTCGAATAATGCAAAAACGGAAAAATTACAACGAGTCCACGTAACACCCTGTTGGGACACAATCAAATATCAGACATGCATGGTTCACATTACACTAGTTCTTGAGAATATCTAAGCACAGAGTAGACAATCGGGCTTTATAAACGTTATGCCTATGCCGTCTTATTCAATTATGTACACGGAGAGTCTTCATGTACTTCAATAGATTGAGTTTATTCACTTGGCGTGAATTTTCGCTTTTTTGGCAATCCCACATTTCTTCAGAAAATTGCTATTTCTGGCCAAAAACAGCTTTACCTTCGGAGTTCTTTCATGTCTTCATCTAGGCGACGGTCATTCCTTATAAATTGGGAGTTATAGCTGATACCTTTGGACAAAATTCCAATTTATTAGAGATTTTTCGCTAATCTGCACACATTTTATGAATTACATCACCTAGTAATGCTGTATGTTTGCTAAATCCTGAAAGTTTTTTTATTGCCAAGTATGTATAAAGCTGCTTGCTTAGATTCACGAAACAAGCTACAATAAAAACTAAGAATAGAACATCCAAGCACACCTAACGAATAAATCTCAGGCATAGGCAAGCAAATGCGGGAAAAGAAGAAGAAAATGAAGGCCTGATAGACTCAAAAAGTTCAATTCTTATTTGTTTCAGATGGGTGTGGATAGAGTTGCAGGAAACATGGTCACTGGCACAGGGACAAGGTACGAGCGATGATAAAAATCCAATAAGTGCGGAGAGGGTGGAGGACAAAGTCACATCGCAGACTCAGGCGATTTTATGTGGGCTGGAGGAGGGAGGGGGAGCAGAAAGAGGGAAAGAGTAGATGAGAAACATGAGTGAAGACGACAAAAAATCACAAAGGGATGAAAAAGCAACAAATTGACCTTGGGCGAAGCTCTGGCAGTATCTTTATTTGTGTATAGCTGTGTGTGAGGGCGACTCTTCTGCCTCTTCTCCAGGATCCGTTTGTAAGTTTGTGAGGAAGAGAAATAGGCAGGAAAATGCGTGTGTTATTACGGGCTACCAGAGACGGCCTTCGTCTGGTCCTCCTCTTGCGGCGTGGCCCTGGGACGATCGCCGTTAGCCGGGCGCGGCGGGGAGCAGTTCAGCGCCTCCAAACGTGAGATACGCTCAGACATGTCATCTAACTGCAGCTTCAGGCTTTTTCCCAGTTTTTCGAAATTTGTAGATAGTTCCGAGATGCCTATAAGTGAATAAGGAGAGCAGTCATAAGAATGCCGCGCAGACGGAGGAACATGTTGGTAATAAAGTCATCCGCAGGCTATTTCTCGAACAGTTAGGTGCGCAGTCGACCAGATAACATTTAGTCTCAACACATGATTGAACAACTTAGGGCGACAATTTTGGTACGTGGAGCGTCTGCTAAGATGACCGCTATTCGCAGGAAGGAGATGAACGGCGAAAGGAGGCAATCCATAAGCCAATAGAGCGTAAGAGAACGTCGTCAGTGCTTACTTTGTCAGTAACGACAGGACTAAAGGCTCTGGGAAAGTCCTCACTCAGACTTTAGAAATATTTTTCAAAGCTCCCGACAGTTCAGTCTCTTCTGGTCCACATTTATTCGCTGACCACATGCCCTTTACTCCAGGCCGCTTCAGAAGCTTTGTAGGTCCCACGTGTGTGGCAGCCTTCCCCCTTTGACGTGCATTTAAAAAACGACCCGGAAGAAGCTGGCACAGCCCAAGTGGCATGCTCAGCCGTTCACGGGAGTTCATGCAGAATTTAGGCGAGCGGTCATCACATCAACGTCGATATTTTACTTTCTCTGTCGTGATCGTTAATGCAAATTTCCCCGGTGTTTCGGGCATGAGTAATGGAGGGTAGCGCATTGATCAGTTTCATGTGTGCGCTCATGGTCGAACAGGCCAACGAAGTG